TTGTTACCCAGCATTTAGTTGTTACCCTGTAACTAGTTGATTAGTTGATTAAGCCATAACCAATTAAGTTTTCTATGCCCTGCTTCTGTTTTCCTAGAAATGCTATTTGATCACATTGTTGGTAGTTCTCAGAACCTGCCTCATTCTGAAATCATTTGTGCCTTGCTTTGCTCAAATAAACACCATTAAACTTAATTGGTCTATGGAATTTTCCTTCCAACAGGATTGACAGTCCATAATTAGCCAGTGATGTTAGAAAAAATGATGACCTTGCCTCTTGGAACACACCATCCCAGAATTAAGTGAGCTGCTACTGTGTGTTTGTGTGTTTTCTTATGAGGACTAGTGCTAATAATACCAGTCCAAGATCTGAGGTATCTGAACTGCCAATGCACCTGAATTTGGGACTAATGATTGGCTCTTAATATGCAAAAAAGTGACAAAATCAAGTTTTGCTGAAGGCTGAGTCATTTCTTGATTTTCTAAATATGAGATATGCATAATATTAACCAGAGTAGGGGACAGAGAGGAATAACACAAAATGATTGTCTAGGGGAATGGATTAAACATGCTAGTAGGAGGGAAATTAAATTTAGAGGACTGCTCTATCATTGAGTTTCTTAATGGTTGCCCCATATTGAAGGAAGCACATTTCCATAGTTAATATAGCCATACTTTTTCCTGTTGCATTTGTGTTGTGAACCGAAAATGCTAGATACTAAATTGCCTGCTGATTAATTAGAGCTAATAAAAGAGTCCTATTACAAGAATGATTAGCTTGCTTCACTTATAGTTTCCCACCAATCGTCAAATTTGTAACTTAGCACTGTATGGTTTTCCTGTGTTAAAGGAAAAGGAAATAAGGTGATTTCACTTATTCACAGAGAAACCTGGACCTGAATTCATTTACAAGATATTTCATAATGTTTAGAAAGGTCAAAACCTTTAGAACCAGAAAAGTCTGAAAATCCAAGCTCTCTTTACAGAGTTCTTAAACAAATTACATGGCCCTTCTGGGGCTGTTCCTTCATCTGTAAGGTAGGGACACCACCACATGGTTTGAGGATTATGTTGAAGCTCAAATAAGGTGGGTGAGAAAAGCATACTGTCCAGGAAGCATATACAGTAGGTAAATAATAAATGCTTAAGTTCATTCCTTCCTAATAGTTTCAATATCTTTTCACGAGTTTTCTATGGCCAAAGGCTTAAAGGAACACTAATAACCACATACTTTAGCTACAGACGATTTGAGCAGAGATGATTAACAACTTCTTCTACCAGTACTGCCTGGTGCCTCCTTCATAAAACAACCTGCTCCTCCCATCCACTGATTACAAACCAAATTTCCCAGGACTTTCCCTAAAGATTTTTGAATCAGTGGATCTGAGATGGGGCCTGAGAATTTGTATGTTTAGTAAATATCCCAAGTAACTATCTTTCAGGAAGTTTGGAAAACAGTGGTAACAGAGCATCTCAAACCTTAATGAGCAAGCAAACAACTTTGCTACCAGATTGAATTGCAGAAAATCATGGGTGTGGGGTGGGGTGTAAGATTCTATGATTCTAGCATGCTCCTAGGGGATGCAGATATTGCTGGTCCAAGGATCACACTGAGTAGAAAGAGTCTTTAAGGTTGAGGTAACTGACTTGCAGTTATATGGGAAGTATCTTAAAGATCTGTGATTTCATATGGAGTTAGAGAAGTAAGTTGAGCAAAGTGTCAACCCATGGGCAGGGAATTTCTTCTGCTTTGCTTTTCAGCCTTGACTGCACGTTAGAACCGCCTGAGTGGGGGGTTTTTGAAACTGGAGGTGCCTGAGCTCAGCCTTCAGAGTCTTATACCTTGGTGTGTGTTGAAGGCAGCATCTTCAGTGGTATGAGATTCCCATATAGATTCATGTGCACACTAAAGTAGCGGAGTATCTCAAGTCCTTCAGCCAACCTGTTTCCCAAGTGCTTGGTTATCAGCATCCAAAGTGACTGCCCCACATGGGTGGTTAGTGTTCTTGTTTTAGAAGTTGTTTCCCAATACCTACATCCAGTTCATGTATTCTCTGATCTTCTTGGTAGTCTTGCACCTCTACCACAACTTAATTCCTATTCCTCCTTGTACTTACATTTTCTTGAGCTATGGGCTCAAGAAAAGATGTAGCTCTCAGAATTTGCTAGAGAAATGCTATACCCTTAAATGCATTTAACTACACTTGTATTTAAAAAAATCCCAATAAAATAGTGCCATATGGATGGTGAGAATATGGCACAAGAAATTGTCCCACTAGCCAGACTCATTAAGAGCATGATCGTTCAACTGTCTGTCCTTTAATGATTTCTTTAGTTTTACCCATTCTGGACCAAGGTAGGTACCTTTGAAAGTTCATCCTTTCATTTATTTCACTGAAGAGTTTATGTATTCATTCTAAATTAAGTTATTGCTGTTAATATTGGATCTAAGTGGGCTTAATATCTTTTGTGGATTTTTCTTCACAGTGAAGGCTGAATTTTCTTCATAGCATATCAAGCACCATTACAATGATCATTTCATAATTACTTCTTAAAAATGTGACTCTTAGCAGAGTTCCTTTAAACAGACAGAACTATATTATGTGGGTGGTGAAAACCTTCGTCACGGTTCTGTCCCCTTCCCCTTGTAATTTATTTTGCAGTAGAAAAGAGGGAGGTGGTGAGTCTTCGCTACTGGTGGAGGGCAAGTTTGAGGGCTAAACAGTTAGGTTGCAGAAGTTTCAGTCCTAGTCCTGCCAATCACTACGGTTAGTCTCTTAGCCTCTACTTTGCTGAGTCTTGGTTTCCTTGTGTTTACAATGAAGCAACACTGGGCCTAAGCGTGTAGCGCCCAGTAAAAGGTGGTTAGGTCATTGGGAGTGCCACTGTTGCAAGGGATTAATGTTGTGGGATCTTGGTTAGTTTCCACAGAGTGAATTATAAAAAGAAAAAAAAAATGACATGCAGATTAAATAAGATCAGGTACATAGTCTAGTATTTGGTGGTAAACTTACCACAAATGATAGTCACTAGTAACCCTTTGTTCAATTCACTTCAGTAAATATTTATTAATGTTTCCTATGTGTTTGGTCCTAGAAGTCCAAGCAAACAAGACAGACACCCAGGAAGCTGGGAGTCAAGAAAAGATAAACATGTAGAAATAAATAATTCCAAAAAAAAAATACTGAGTCTCATAGGAGATACACAGGAACATGGTGTCCAGAATGACTTCTTTGAGTGCCTGAGCCTATCATACTTAATCCTAGGAGAGGTTTGGGGATGGTTTGAGTGTGTCCCTCAAAGGTTCATGTGCTGGCAGCTTGGTCTCAGTGTGGCACAGTTCAGGTAGGGCCCAGTAAAAGGCAGTTAGGTCCCTTCTGCACATGCTCCCATCATTGTGATACTGTCTGCCACGAAGCCCTGGTCAGCTGCTGAACAGATGGGACCACCTAGTGTTGGCCTTTCTGCTTGCAGAACTGTAAGTTGAATATAACTCCTTTTTATAAAGTATCCAGCATCTGGTATTTTGTTATAATAACAGAAAATGAACTAACAGACTAAGAGTACCTTTAAGGAACTATCTTTACCTGAAAGAAATCTCTCTCTAGGGATTTTCTAAAGAATGGACTACGAGAGTAAGTTAGGAGGCTATTGGGGTGGTCTAGGAGAGAGATGACTGAGACTAGAGTAAAGCTAATGGCAGCACATAAGTGAGGAGAGGGGGAAAACAACATAAAAGAGTGTGCTGTGTGATTGGTGGGACTTGGTGTCATTTTTATCTTTCTTTGTTTTTAAATGTAAAGAGAGGTTTAGGTAGAAACCTAGGATCTGGCCTGCAGAGAAGATTGGGACACAGCATGCTTTGAAAGAAAGGGCACAGAAGAGAATGGGCATATTTTTTGTTCTTTTGTGTATGAGGGACCTAAGAAGGAGCCAAGTATAAATGTCAAAAAAAAAGAATGAACCCTAGGAACAATGGTGTATAGGGAACAAGTACTCTGAGGAGGAGAAAGAAATTCTCAAGACAAAAAAAGGGTTGGGTGTGGTGGCTTATGCCTGTAATCCTAGCTCCTTGGGAGGCAAAGATTGAGAGGATTGTAGTTTGAGGTTAGCCCAGGCAAAAATGTTCATGAGACTCCCATCTCAACCAATAAGACTAATAAAAAAAACCAGGTGTGGTGGTGCACACCTATTATGCTGGAAGCATAAATGGGAGGGTAGAAGTTCAGGCTGGTCCAGGCATAAATGTGGTACACTATTTGAAAAATGCCTAAAGCAAAATGGGCCGTAGGCATGGCTCTAATGGTACAGCATCTGCCTAATAAGCGCAAGGCCTTGAGTTCAAATGGCAGTACCCCAAATAAAGAAGACAAAAGGAACAGGTAAAACTGCTGATAAGATCTAGGACAGAAGAGGTTGAGGTGGTCCACACAAGCGATGCCTAAAAGAGGGTTTGCACTCAGCCAGGCAACACTGGTGACCCTCAGAAAAATGTTGACGGTGTGGGGAACAGAAGCCAGGTGCTAATGGGGTATGGAGTGACAGGGAAGACTGGAAAGTATCAAGTGTAGTCTTCTTTTAGGAGGTCAGAAAGAGGGGAAAAGGAAAGGGATTCTGAAACCAAAGATACAGGAGGGGAAGAAAAAGAGCAGCAGGGGAGATGACGGTAATGGATGGAGAGAGATCTTGGGAGAAGTGGAGGAGGTAGCAGGAGATGAGAAACCTCTTCCCTAAAGACCGCAGGGAAGGTGCTGAGCGTGGGTATGGAAGTCAGTGAGTTCCACAGGTGAGGAAGACAGTTGTTAAGAAAAATCAGGAAGGAGTTAGAGGATTTAATCTCGAAAAATGGACTATTTGTGTAGGTCAAAAGAAAAAAGGCAAATCATTTCACTCACCAAAATAATTCACACAAAAATATTTTCTGTAATACAGTGAAAATCAGTAATATTTTTGGAGCAGTATATACATTTGAAAAAAACATAGTCATTTTTCATGCTAAGTTTTTATTCAATGTTATGCAACTGCATAAGTATAAATATTTGTTCAATATACAACAATTATGACATCCATGGGGGAACTTCTTAGAGAAAATAAGACTGCAAACACTTTATTGCACAGATCCTAACAAACTTTTAAGCTGGTAAGTCTACAGCTGGAAGTACTACCCAGGGGCACGTCTTACAACCACACAGAGACTGACCAAACAGAACACAGAAGAATTTCTACCAGCTGATTGGAGAGGTACACAATAACAAACAGGTATCACATGAATGCAACCTTAAGTACTCTTTACTCTTCCAAAATGCAAAAACATATTTGGCAAAAATGATAATACACTATACAAAATACACATAAAAATATCCTTTGTAAACAAGCAGCTAGTTGTGCTTTAAAGAAAACTGGACAGTTAAAAAGCAAAGGCTGTAAACCATGAACTGCCTCCCGAATAGACCTGTCTCGATGTCTGAGTGAAGATTGGGGTATGACAACTGCCAGGCAGATATGTATTTTAAGTGTTGAGACCACTTTTGAAACCCATTTGAGTTCGTGTAAAAAATGCATTTGTTTCTTCTACAGTTTCACAATGTAGTGACTGGGAATAGCTAAAACTGCATGGGGAAAACAAAAACAAAACAGGGGCAAAGAGGATACATTTTTCTTTTCTTTATGCCAGTGCCAACTCGCTTTACAATGAAGGACAACCGGATAGTCGGTTAAGTTATGCCTTTTGTTTTTGGAGTGTTTACAGCCTTGCTAGATGATTTACAATCCAACAGGGCGGTAAGATGAGGCTGTGCTTACAAAAATAATTTTATAGCATGAAGATACTACGACATCCCCAAGGAGCGGTTGGTGCTAAATTAGTTATTTATTGGTAAGTTTCTCCTCTTACAAAACAAAAATCCTGTGATGGATCCCAAGCATCTTATAAATACTTATCTGCTTTGTCTCCATTGTCTCTTAGTGCCTTAGTACTCATGTCAGCAAGTGCCATCTTACAATTCAAAACAAGCCACTTCAAAACTGCAACAACATAAAACAAATCAAAAACCCTCAGCACTAAAATGATTTGACAAATTCTATATATTTCATGGTATACAAAATTTAAATAAGGCTTAGCAAAAGTAAAAAGGATGGTCACATTCAAGCACCAAATAGCCCCATTTTTACAAAAATACTGCTCTTCATTAATACAGTATTTTTTTTGCATACAAATAAAGAGATCGTGTTATGATATATATGGAGCTACTCAATGCATCAGAAATGAATGTGAAACCCAGGAACTTGCTAAAAACAGCAAGCTTCGTCTACAACATAAGGCCCCGACTATGTATTAAAATGTATCTGATGTCCTGATTATTCCTTAATATATATGTTATGATGCTAAAATCCACCCCCCTTCTTTTCCTCAAAAAAGAAAGCAAATTTAAAACTTCTTCCAATGCCTGATGCTATTAATTGACCTAAGTACTAGCAGATTTGTGTGCAGCCAGTAATTTTCCTTTCCATTCAAGAGCAGGGCTGGTGCAGAACCAGCACAAAGTGTGTGCTTCTTGGACTCGTCACTCATAGCCTGAGTGCAAGAGCTTGAAAAGAAGGGAAAGAAAGAACAGAAATGAAGTTGATGGGTGTTTATAGTCCCTGCTCTTCCTCATGCGAAGACCAAACATATAATCCCAAAACAACAACAACTGGCCTTTGACAGTTGGTCCTAAGGACCAAAATGTCTAGCAGGATGACTGTGAGATAAATAGCTAGCTCCATTTGTCCTGGCCATTCTTAATGGTGGATTCCAAATGCAGTGACTGGACCAGTTCTTGCTTTAGATCTGGAAATACGGATAGCCAGATACAGTACTATCAGAAACTCTGGTTTAAAATACACATAAAAACGTACAATCTACTGTATTTAGGGCATTCTTTCATCTTGAACTCTACTTATAAAAATGGAGCCTTGAAATATTCTCAAACCACAGACCAAAACATGTAGGTGGATGTGTACATACATGACTGTGGATGTATGGATAACACACACCCAGTTTTGACCATTTTGCTTCATTACTACATTATGATAAGTGGTAAAGCAAAGATCTTAACTCAGAAAAGCTGTAGTAAGTGATGCAATCAGCAGCAAGGTACAGACTCGACATCCCAAACCAAACACATCGCTAGGTATTTACAGAGAGAATCTCTTTCCTCAGCAGCCCTCTGCTGTAAAGGTATTTTTTTGTACAAACACTATCTTGGTAAGTTTTACCCATTACAACTGGGAAGGCATCTGGAAGAAGGTTCCCTCTTTCTGTCTCTCATTTTCCCCCTCCTCAGTGAAGCTCCAAGCTAATTTACCTGGAGGACGTCCCCATACAGTGCTGGTATCAAAAGGTGGTCAAGACCCAGTTCCATTTCAGGCCAGGTCCCCACAGACCTACTCAGTTAGGAGGCCTTTTTGTGAGGGCTACTTCGCAAACTCTCTTTGCCCCGCCTCTGACGCACCACAAAATCCTTCTCTGAGGAAAGGGTGAGGGGACGGTCTGTGTTTGGGGCTGGGGGCACCTTGGTCACCTCCCTGCCCATGTTCTGTTTCCTGGCCGGGGGAGGCTGGGCAGGCTCTCTCCCTTTGGTTTCTCCCATGGCGGTTACTGAGAGCGCCCTGTGCCTGTGGCCAGATCCGCCAGGCACATGTAGGTCAGTGTGGTGTGACTCTTGGGCAGTGGTAGAGAGGCAGAAGGATGGCAGAGAGTCGCTCTTTGTCATTTGGGTTCTGCTGTCCTCCCCAGACTGGGACTTTCTATGGTCCCTATGACTGGGGGCTACAGACTCAGGTGTGCCCCCATTGGCTTTAGCAGAAGAGGGGTCACTGTTGGCTGCTGCAGCCTCTCGTCCTCCTGCCCAGGCCTCAGGGATGCCGGAGGAGTAGCTCAGAGACTTCTCTGGAAGGGCAACAGAGTGGAAGGAACCCTGCCCAGTGGCTGAGGGTGACCGCTTCATATTGCTAGGCTTGCCTGCCTCCGCCAGTGGCTTCTGGGGAGCAGGTACTTTCCCTTTGGCCTCTAGAAAGCCCTTCCCCGGCCCCAAGGCTGGCCTCTCTGCACTTTTCTGATGGCTCTCACCGTGCATGTGAGAGCTGGCTTCCAGCTTGCCTGCATCTGCCGCTGGAATATAAAGTGCTTCTGTGCATTTCTTGCCTTCTGGCTTCCTATCCATGGTGGTGGCTTGCTGACTTGAGCTTCTGTCGGTCTGTCTGCACAGAGGGGGACAGTCTTTCACAGTGGATGGCTTGGGGTGCTTTGGAGACAGGCTTTGCTTTTCATTGGCAGTGGGAAGCTTCTGGTCTACAGCATCAATGAACCCTGGATGTCCTTGCTTGGGCAAATGCACAGGCTTCTCCTGCACTTCTAGAAGGTGTTCATCACTGGTGGGTTTCAGTTTGGCATTTAGGGGACCCTCTGGAGGGTGCAGTGGGATGGAAGGACCACTTTCTCCCCAGCCAATCGCATCACTAGCTTTGCCCTGGATGGCTGGGGACACATCCAACACACCCTTACTGTTGCCCTTCCCCTCTCTGCTGGAGCCACTGGGGGGCTGAGTGACAAGCTCTTTGCCCTTTGCAGTCCCAATGCTCATTTTTTGTGAGGAGGGGGACCTGTCTGGGTGCTTGGATTTAGGGGGGCCAGGGTCAAGGCCAGGCCGAGGCTTGTGGCCACTGTTCTCAGTGTGCATAGCAGTAGGCCTGGGAGGATCCTGGAGGCAGAGGCTGGGTTCTGCAGCAGTGGGCTGGATCCCGGGCTCCTTGCTGGAAGTGAGGTTTGGGGAACTGCAATGCTGCCAAGGGGCCAGGCTGGGCAGCTCTTTGGTGGTCGGGGGGAGTTGAAAGCCACTGCTGATGTGCCTTTGAAGAGGCTGCTCTTTCCTCTCAGGCTCCTTGGGACACTGTTTCTGCAAAGAGAGGATACCAGAGAGCTTCTCACTCTTCCCACTGTCAGTTCCAGGAGGCTGTGGAGTGTACCTGGCAGGAGGGGTTTCAGGCTTGGGTTCCAAGTCACTTCTTACCTTGCTCACCTCCTTCTCACAAAGAATCCCAGCTTTGTTCAAGGAGGACTCCTCCCTGGTCAGGGACCTAACCTCATCCCGGCCATCTTTGTGGTTTATTTTTGCACAAGTACCCCACACTTTCTCCATGGCTTGAGTCTGCACACAGAAGTCTGGGCAAGCCCTTCCCCCAGAAGGGACACTTTTGGAATTCTCGTTGACTTTAGCAGTCTCTGGAGGACACAGCTCCATTGAGGGGTTTCTGTGCATGTCAGCCCTCATGGCAGGCCGCTCACTTCTCGCTGTGGAAGGGCTCTTTTCAGATGGTTCCTTCAGGCTTGGTTTCTCCCTTGCAGGGACCTCTTTGGGTAAGAGGGGACCACATAACCTGGCTGGAGCAGTGCTGTGCATGGTCTTCCCTGAGCCAGGGAGGACCTTGCTGTCTGTGGAATGGTCTTGGTGTTTGACGGAGCCATTCTCTCTCTGCTGAGAGTCACTTTCCATGATTGTTACTGAGCTCCTGGCAGAAGGATGGGAAACTTTTCTGTTCTGTTTTAACTCTGGGTTGGGCAGGGGAGTTGGTATGCTCTGGAGACCCCGGCCAGGGGGCAGGAACCGAGGCTCGAGCAGGTAGGATTTATTCATCTTCAAGTTTGCAGGGGAAGGCTCTCTGAGGTTGATGGGGTCACACTTTTTCCCACTACTTCCAAGGAGAGCTGGTGGCACAGAGGGCCCCATGTCACCACTTGGACTGGGGCTCTGTACATACTCTGGTGAAGGCAGCTCTGTCTTAGAAGCATGAGGTCCAGACAGGAGAGCAATGTCCAATGTGCCCTCAATTGGCTTCAGACATGACACTGACCTGCCCTCTAGCTTATACTCAGAGGGGCTCTTCCTGACTGGAGACTCAGGAGCAACTAATACCGGCTTCTCTGGTCCACCATCCCCCCGGCCAGCTAAGGCCTTGAGAGGAACGAAGGAGACAGAGCTCATCTGAGCCACATGGGTGCTGCTAATGAACGCCCGGCTCTCGGAGCCCTGTGGGGTTTCCTGCTGCCCACCTACAGGCCGGACTGCATTTCCTGACAGGCATTCGTGTGCACTGGATGCCATCTTGGCCTTCAACACAGAGCAGTGGTTATCATCTTTGTCTTCAAGTGTCATTTTCTTTCGGAGGTAATCAATATTGGCCAGCTTGCTGTCTAACTTCTCGCCTCGGAGGAACTCCTTGGCCTGGGAGGCCTTCTCTGTGTTTTCAGCCTTCCCAGGGATGGACCTCTCTGGGGAGTGACAGACACTGTCTTGGAGGGTGCTGGGGGTGGAAACCCGTTTGAAGTCACCTGCACCTTGGCTGTGCTCCCCAGATGCCAGGCTACAGCCAGGTGCTGCCCCATCCGAGGCCATCCCTTCGCTGGCCCTCACGCTGGCCTGCTTGTGAAGTGCGTCTTTTAGCAGGCTGCCCAGAGACTGGGCCTCCATTGCTTTGTTTTCAAAATGACTGGACCTTTCTAATGCCTTGGGGTAGCTTTTCTTCTCTCTCTCTTCTAGTCTAAAGAGAGCATGGTTTTCTGAATCACTGCCGAAGCTGGGGTGTTTCTGGTGGGACTCTTGTTTCTCTGAGAGGCCATCTGGTTTCTTCACCACCATCTTGGCCTTCAGCTTATCCCGGTCCAGGTCATCCACAGACTCCTGCCGGCCCAGCTTCCGGGACACTGGGCGTTTCAGGCAGCCTTGTTCCACAGGCCGGGCACGGCTGAGGGATGGTGCATCACACATGTTCTCCTCTAGGCTCTGCAGGGTCACCTCTCGCTGGGACTGCTCCCGCTGTACCTCTTCCTGGGTCACCTCTAGGCTGTGCTTACGGGAGCACAGATGCTTCTTGTCACTGCCATAGGAGGGTGACAGCTTTTCCTCAGACTGCACCCGCTTGAGCAGCGGGGAGCGCGGGGGCTCAGCACTCTTGGGTCTCACAACATGTCTGGCAATGGTGGGTGGGGAGTGCATCTTGCTGGGAAAGGCTTGAGCAATCTTAGCATTGCCAAGGGAGTATCCCAACAGTGGGGAAGGTGATCGCTGAGGGGAGGTGGGCTGGGGGGTCGGAGAGGGTGTCCGGGCCAATGGGGACAGTGGGATGCTACCAGCCGACTTTCGCCTTCCAGAGCGGTATCGCTGCCCACTGAGTTTGGGAGCCAGGCCATGGAGGGTGCTGGGCCGGATGTGCCCAGACCCTGCTGGAGAATTGGGAGCACTAGAACTTGGGGAGCTGCTCTGGGAGGAATTAGTACCTGCAAGTAGAAAACAGAGGTGTGAGTATCCAGGGTCATCTTTCTTTTTTTTTTTCCATCTTCCCAGACTGAGGTGAGATCAGGTACAAGTCAGCACTGTGTCTTGTCATCGGACTAAAGAAGTCACCCCTTCTCAGATAAAGCTCCCTGCACCCAGGGTTAGCCCTGAACTATCTGTCTTGTTTTAACAGTCAGAACAGCCCCATCTGTGTCCTCCCTTGGTAGCCCTGTCTGTCGTTTACCTCCCCAGGTTGACTTTACCTCCTCTTAACCCTAGAGCTTCTGGAACAAGGGATTCACTCACCAGATGGGAAGTCGGGAGTGGAGCGATAGCTGGGCGTGGGTGATCGGGGAGATAAGCTGTGAGTGGGGGAACCCGGGAGGCTTTCTCCGGATGACAGGGATCGGTTCAAGCAGGAGAAACTGCGGCTGGTGTGGAGCAAAGGAGAAGGCTGTTTGGCTAGCTTTTTGAAAAGAGATCTCCTCCTACAGTGGAAACAGGACAAAAGGGATCAGAGTCTATTTTCAAATCCACCCCTGCTTCCCCACCATGCCATCGAGTTCAGTGACTGTCAGAGAGTGTGGCATAAATAAAGAGCAGGAAGCCATCTTTCTTTAAAATCTTGCCCCTGACTTAGAGAGGAATAGTCTTCGATAGTGTTTTTTTTCTTTTTTTTGGTGGTACTGGGGTTTGAACTCAGGACTTCAGGCTTGCTAGGCAAGTGCTCTACTACTTGAGCCACTCCGCCAACCCTGATAGTGTTCTTGAAGGTTCTCTTAATTCTAAATGCTTAGGAAGAGACAGTAAAATAAAAATATAAAATATATTTTAAAAATATCACCTTATTAGGCTTGTAAGGAGGGTCTTTGTGTGAAAGTATCTAGGTACATACCCAGTATGTGCCAACACAAAATAAATCTCTGGAAGAAAAACTATGAGCTGGGATATCGAATCCTGTAATGGTGAGACAGTGGGCAGACGCTTTATCTGTGGAGGGTTGTTTGCTGGGTTTATTCCATTGTGGTGCTAGACTATGCCTAACAATAATGTAGGCTGCATAGTTACACGGGAAGCCAGGCCCATCCTATCAGTGGGCAGCAGATACAAATGTACACTGAGTGCTCAATGAGCACATGATAAGGTAAAAAACACAGCTGCCTAAGGCTTATCAGTGCGTGTGGCTGGATGGAGTTCTTTCACCATCACAGAGACCTAACCTGGCCCTGGTGAGCTAACACTGCTACGCCTTAAAGCAATTTATTCTATGTAACCTAAAGCACAATCAGAATATAAAGTGTAACCAGAAAAAACAAGGATGCTAGAACGTGTGAGTGTAATTCTAATTAAAGTGTACGTGCACATGGGATAAAGTGTCAAACAGCTCTCTAAACTTGTAGAGAAATGCACCTCTTTCCTTCCACATCCCAGAGAAATCCACCTTCCACCCTTTTACATTCCTGCTCCCATTTGTCTGATATGGCTAAATAATGTGCCTGCACTGCTATTTTAGTTTTTCCAGTTGTAGAAATTATCTGTTGATTTCCTACTATGAAAATGAGAATTAAACTATTATACAATCACCTTCTACCCTTGAATACAATATGCTGTCTCTTTTCCATTCTTCCTAAAACAAAAAAAAACTGGCTACACATATGGCTGGTGTTTTGTTTTACATCACAGCTGGAGTATGTAAGGTTTTTCTTTTCATATAACTGTGTTTTTTAGTGTCCCCCCCCCCACTTTGGGGAAAGGGGTTTTGAGACAGAGTGTCACTATACAGCCCAGGTTGGCATTGAACTCATGATCCTCCTGCCTCAGCCTCCCAAGTGCTAGATTATAGGCATATGCCATAATGTTCAACGTTTTCTACATTTCTATCAAAAGTCATATGAATATATGATGAGACTGTCAGGTCCAAGTGAGTGAAAGAGGGGCCATGACAGCACACAGGAGCCAAACCCCAGGCTGTCTGGAGCACAGGCACACATCTTATTTTAGTCTGCACAAAGCACACAACAATACAATGTGTGCATCCCAGGCTGCCCGTATGTGTCTCCTCCTTAGATTTCAGTCAGTTAGACAAAGGCCCTTTATTTCTAAGCTTATGTGGAAGCTTTAAAGATACAGGTACTGGTCTGGTGGAATGGCTCAGGGTCTCTAGCAAGTGTGAGACCTTGAGTTCAAACCCCAGTGCTGCCAAAAAAAAGAAAAAAGATGTAGAAGTTGTAGGTACTTTGGAATATCTGGTATTTTCAAAAACAACTGTTTTTAGATAATGTAAAGGACATTTAAAAAGTACACTTAATGTAAAAAAACTGCCTGATGGTACAGTTCCTCAAACTCAACTCTATTAAAAAGAAGTCTAGAGATAGAAAAAACAGCAAAGGGTTTTTCATGGTGCTCACATGAGATAAAAATCAATAGAAATCCTTTTACAATAAATATATGTAAGTCCTTTTCCTATGAAAAAGAATGTTACTATGCATATAAACTTTAATATATAACTATATGTGAACTATAGCATAAAATTTCTCATAGAGAAATAGATCTTTAGCAAACATAAGCATTTAAGTAGAAATAACTTTTCTTCAACATGAGCACACACCAAGCTGGCACAGGAGACTGACATAACTCACCTTTCTAGACTTTCTTTCTTCTTCGACTTCTTGCTCCGCCTCACCATCCTGCTCTTGTAGCTGTTTCTCCTGGCTGGTCCTGTTTTGATTGATGTGTTTTCAAACGGAGTAGTAGTGATTGACACCTTATTCCCACTCTATAAAAAAGATGAGGTGGTATTAAATGCTGTGATGAGGCAAGATGAGAATGGAGCTTAAGAGAGCCAAAGACAAATAAATAGATAGGAGCATTCACCAAAAGGTCCTTTCATTTCTAAATAACTGACAATTCAAGTGGGTGGAAGGCAAAGTAGAAAGCCTCTTTAGATGGTAGGCTCTCAAATTCACATATCCAAGCTCTGTGACCTCAGCAAGCTGCTTAACCTCACGCACACCACACTAGCTAATGGTATAATCCTTCCTATCTCACAGTGCTCATCCAAGGAGTAAATGAGAGAGTTTGTAAAGCCTTTAGCACTGAGTGTGACACATGGAAAGGGCTCTATAAATAAGTTATCTTCATCCATATGCATTAAGTATAAACGTGCCCAGTGGCTGTCTGGTCTTGGTTGATAGATTTTTCCTTTTTCTCCTTTTTGTGTTTTTCTTATAGCTTAGAAATCATAGAGCAGCAAAGCTGAATGAGACTGTTATAGTTAATGATTGTGAAAGGTTCCTTTCTTGTTTTCATAAAACCTGTCAAGTCTGCAGAGAACCAAGGAGTATGCTTTCATCAGGTCTGCACGGGGAGATAATTCCTGGTGGGTTTCCGTGCCCTTTCACTCAATCTTGGGAAGGAGATTGCTGGGCAGGCTAGGGGTAGAGTCAAGCATGGAGTTAGCAGCCAGGCTGAGGGGTAGCCAGTTACTCTGGAATCCATGAGATATGGGCAGGGGATGAGATATGTCCTTTCAAAGTCAGAGGTAGCTCTGATTACTCTGAAAATATTAGTATAAGGAGGACCTTTGTAAAGACCTTTGTCTGGAAGATACCTCGCACCCTCAGTTCTAAGTAGACCCAAGTGATAGGAAATTGTTATGGGAACAGGGGATTAAAAAAATAGGGAGTGTTTTAATGATACCATCTACTCCTCTTCCTCAATCCCCACTGCTGATTTGGGAAGTATTCAATGCTATCATGAGAAAAGAATAGTAAAGTATAAATTTAAAAAATCATTGAGAGGCCTATCACCCAATTATCACTGGTGATATTTCAATGTATTTCCTGCTGGTGTGTGTGTTGGGGGAGTGGCTAGGCACTGAACCCAGGGCCTCATACACGCTAGGCAAACACTCTATCATTGGGTCACAAAGTTACATTCCCAGCCCCTACTGTTTTTTTTTTCCAGGCACATATAGATACACATGTATGTAGACATACTTTATAACAATTTTAATACTACTACCTTTTAGTTTTATGTTTTGCATTTCACATTATATAATTTTGGAACACTTTCATCATTGAATAGTCTTAAGAACATGATTTCTACAGGTTGTATAATCTGTTACTTGGGTGAGTCAAACTTATTTAACTCTTTCCCTGCTGCTGTTATTACTCAATTCTTACGTGCTGATGTTCCCTTATTTTAGTTTCTCGTATTTCTTTAGGAAATAATTTGCTCTTGCCTTATCTCCAGTTTAGTACTGAAAAGCTGTAGTATTTTATTGTTGTCTTTATAGTTCTTCATCCATCATTTAAGAAACTATAACCTCATACCTAATGTCATATTTGTAGAAAATATTTTAGGGAAATGGGGCTTGAACTCCACCAAGACAAAGGTTCCCCCCCTCATTCCAAAAGGATAACTTATGCAGTCTATATGCAAATACAAACTTTAAAAGTATACATTTAATCTTACATTTGAGAATGGCTTCTATTTACTTTTTTGGATGGAAAATTCAGCTATTAAGTAGTAAGGTCTATCACTGAAGGCTGTTGGAATAGGGTCTTCACAAATTGACTGAAGCCATAATGAAATTATAGTTTTTCCTGTGGTGAAAGAAAGGGCAACAGACATTCTTGGGGTTCATCTTTCACCTAGGTTCTGTTCATTCTTACACTGAGTAGACACACACAGCTGTAATGATCACAGGGGCTGTCCTATCCCTTGAGTCACTTAAGCCTGAATGCAATTCTACTCACTTCTGTGGAATTCAGTGTTGATTTCTATATATTTGATTTTTTTAAGGTCACCTTCACACATATTCCTTGAGATTCTTCTTCCCAGGGTCACAGAGCCCAGTAGAAGATCCCAAGTCTGGCTCTCCTGTCCTTCATTCCCCAGTGCTCCTCCTTCCTAATCCATTCCATGTAGGTAGGCTGCATCCTGGTCCCCTCCACCTCCCCTGAGCCTGGCATAGAGTGTGGCTTCACCACTGGAGGTGATGAGGAAACCAGAGATGCAACTGACATCTTCAGGCATGTTCAAAATATCAGATCGTCAAGAAGAAATGAAGGCGACACAAACCTCATAAAACTGCATAAGATAAATGTAAATAATACAAATTCTGAACGCTTCACATTAGAAAACAGAGGGGTACAGAGCTTGCTAGGTCCCCACAACACTAGGCTTCCTTACCCTATCAAATACAAATATAAACTGTTTTCATTTCTACACATGGCTATTTCAGAGGACAATTAATAAGACTTATGCACATACACAAAGGATGCAGAGTGAAAAATACTGGGTAGGACACATTAATAGAAAAAAAAATGGCAAATGACTGAAAAAAAAATGGGTGCTATTTGTGAAGCCTGCCACCTGGTGGATCCATCCAGCTACAGCAAGTGCTACCAGAATTCCACTCTTTTCAGCTTATGGTGTGGGTTTATCCTCAATTAACTTATCTTAATGAATGAGCAACCTCTTAAAGAAAGTCTGTGGCAACTGTTTAAAAAATAACAGCAACAACAGAAATGTAGCCATCCGACTGTTAAATGTTCAACTAATTCACTTTTACTTTAAACTCTTTTCATAATTAGTGTACAGTGGTAGAGAAATTATTTTAAGCTGGCTATACTGACTACAACAGAAGTCAGACTATCCAATTTCTGCTGTCAGTCTGATTGAGTCACTTATCATTTGGCCTGGGTAACTCACGGAGCTCCACTTCCTTTCTCTGCAAAGCACAGATGGGGAACAAATCCTTCCTTCAACCCTGTGGCATGGCTGCCCTGACTTGCACATATTATCACATACACGGAGGCTCCAACCCACTTGCTCACTGTATACCTCACACAGCTGATATCCCTTGACCTTGTATTTACACACCTCTTCACATTGCCTACACTGTCCTGTACCCCTTTTCTATACACTGAATCTCCATCCATCCTGAAGTTCCCTGTGCAGATCCGCACCCCCCAACCAATGTGGTTCTCTGATGCCATTCTTATGCATCCTGGTGGAGAGCCATCTCTTCTTCAGAACCTCTGCCATGTTTACAGTCTACTCCTTATGTTTAACACTTTGACTAGAGCCTGGTATTGCCACTGTTTCTCGCTGTAAGCTTTAGACTAGAAGGCTTTGGTAATTGGTGACTGTGTGTGTGTGCAGCCATGTGCCATAGAAGAGCCCCTGCCTGGGTGAAAGTCATCTTTTCCTTAGTAGCAGATAGGCGTGGCTGCCTTGTTCACTTCTCCCTGTTTTGGGGTTTTTTGCATTTATACAATGGGAACATTTAGATTGACAACATCTGTCTCAGAAGGAATCAGAGGTTCTATGAATTTGAGTAAACACAGCAGAACTTGGGAGGTACCAAGTGCTCTTGCTTCATCAGCTATTATTTTCATGTGTCATTTTTGAGTGGCCCTTGCAGTGCTACACACAAGGCTCTGCACCTATCAGTGGTTCAACTAACACGTGAGGGTGGTAATGATGTTATTTGGTGGTCCTCATTTCAGTGTCTAGAAGCTCCTCAGAGCTTACGGAAATGAAGTTTCTGAAGCAAGTGCTTGTGAAATTTTAGGGCTTCTTTACTGCATTGGGAATTTAAACTAATGTTATGTCAAGAAAGCAACCTGGCTGAATAGAAAGTCCTGGATTACAGAAGTTAAGCCTGGTGGGTTAGCACATGATAAGGTGATGTGGCTGGGTCAGCATGGTCTCTATCCTTAACAAGGGGGTCAAGAAAGATTTCAGTCTATTTATGAAGTTCTTTTAGAATGAATGATGCTGCCTAAAAGCCAAATGAACTTGGTTGTAGCAAAAAAAAAGGTGGGAAGGGATTCAGGTTACCACTGGACTATTGAACTAGATAATCATGAGAGTCTATAATGCCATGGGTCTAGGATGCTGAGTGTCCATTTTGAAGTTGTGCTATGAACCAGGAAATGCTTACTCTGTTCATGGTCTTTTTCTTTTTTTCTTTTTGACAGCACTGGAGTTTGAATTTAGGCCTTGCACTTGCTAGGTGGGTGATCTACCACATAAGTCACACCCCAGCCCATATATTCATAATCTAAAAGACAAATACTATACATGTGTTTCTAAACATATAAATATTGCCCTATGTGATTCCTTTCTGCCTTTTTCTAAGGATGAGATAAGTTGAGTACTTAGCAAGCATAGAACATTGTGGAAACAGCAGGCAAGAACACGAAAATAGAGCTGCCACTCTGATGTTAGGCCCACTGTTGATACTAGTCACTTTCCACTCTTTGTTCAAGAATTGTTGGTTAAATTTGGAAGGGAGCTACATGATTACACAGTTCGTTGAAAAGATAATTAAATCCCTTGTATCCTCTTTGTTTCATTACACTAGTTACTCCTTCTGAGTGCTTCCTTTATGAACCAGAGGCAGGCTCCTCTGCTTGGATGTGTGACAAAGCACATCACGGCTCCAAGGGTGCCAGGGACTCCACTACATCATGCTGAAGCAATTTCAATGACTGCAGCCAGGAATGAAGGCTGTAGGTTGGGGAAGGTGCTTTGTAGCCAGATGAGGCAAAATGTTACACAGAGGACCATCTGATTCTGCTGAGACCTTGCCAGAAACCTTCAAGAGAAATACACAGTCAAATTTCACAGAAGCAGGAAAAAAGGCTTTAAAAGCCAGAATCATATTAAGATGCAAAATAAGTGTATATTCCTCAATATCCATTACAGTTTATTTTCTCTTCTGCTTTTATAGCAGATGTATGATATGTATAAACATATGCTCTGGCAGGAGCTATTTTGCACACAACACAATTCTCTTGTAAAAAATATAGAAGGCAAGGTATGTATTACCATTTAAAATCTGTTTAACTTTTTAAAACTCAGGGATGCCAAGCTCCAGTAGGATAAGAGAAACCCAGAACATGGACTAATTCTCCAACACCAACTGTCAGGTTGGCTCCTTTGTCTGTTACCCTTGCGGTCCCTACCAACCAGAAAGACATACATTGGATATAGGAGACAAGAACCCCAACAGTTCTCTGGGCCCTTATTCACAAGGAGTGGCTTGGTGAGGGATCATTGTGAAACCAAGACTACAATGTCAAGTCCTGTGGGTAAAAGCATTTCTTCTTGGCTTTTGTCTTGAGTAGTCTAAAGTCATTTAAGGTGACTTTCACAACCAAGGGATCATGAAATCAGCAGTCTTTCTGTGCCTTCCATTTTTGGTATGCTTGATTGAGACTGTTCCATCTCAGTTGGATAAAGGGCATTATAAGAGACAGCCGCTAAATGAAACCAAATGCCTCAGGTCTTATCCATGCAGAGGCTAAAAATGACATTTGCTTTTGCTCAGTAGCCATATGACAGAAGTGTAGGCTAACTCCAGTCATCTTAAGTCTGTTGCTATCAAACTGAATGGCATGTGTACTAAGATATAAATCAACAAACAAAAACAGCAAGGTGATCCTTGTCCTCCCATGGTAACTTTGAGACAGCAAGCAGAGAAGATTCATTCCACAAACTTATTAAGCCCCAGACCCCCATGAGCCCTGAGTATAAGACCCAAGTCTCATTAATGGTGTGATTTAATCAACAATGATAACTTCCTATCTACTATCTCACACTAAACCTTAGGATACACATACTACTGATTTTGGAACCGAGGCCAGACTCCAAATCTTGGGGAAAAAAAATTTGTGTGAGCTGGAGAATGACAAAGAAGGGAGGGAAAAAGTCATTTAACTACATTTTGATTTTGATTTTGAAAGATTTGTTCACCCACTTCCCTGTAGTGCCTTCAAATTCCACTTCAATATCTCTGCCTCTTACCATTCATACAATGTTCTCTCCAAAAGTGTAACAGTTCTCTCTCTGCTAGAGCCTGGGCTAATTAAGTTGTGTTTTATTTTCTCATAAGCATGGTCCATACTTCAGGGCAGAGCAAAAAACATCCCTTAATTCCCATGTCACCAATGTCTACAACGATGCTTAGAGTCACCCTGAATGAACATTATTTAAACCAGCGTATGGATTTATGCTTATATATTTTTATGCTTTGGCTCCCTGAATGGGCAGTGTCTCACATATCTCTTGGCTGGTCATGTCTTACAGAGTCTGAGCACAGGGCTCAAGAAGTAAGAGGATGTTCTTAAACCTGTGGAATTTGTCAAACAATCCTACAAGTAGAGACTGCATTTCTTGTGACAGATAAATTAGCCTTCTTTTCCTGAGAAAGCTTTAAAATCAAATCCATCTATATTTGGATCTCTGACTTTATCATTTTGAGTCAGCAGGTAGCTAAGCAAGTATCTCAAGAGGACTTGTCTGAAAGGATTGATGTGCACACTCTTCTCTTGTCTCTCTCCATTCCTTCTCATGCTTCCTGTGAGCTGAGTCACAGAAAGACAAAACTCAGCTTTCCTTTGAAGTATGACTTGATCCCTAATGAAATTACATATTTGTCTGTGGAGGGGAGGGACACCTAATAATTGCTAGATCCCATTGTTCATTATCAACTATTTTAATCATTTATAGCACATGTGTATATATTTAAGTTCTGTCTTTCAAAGGAACTCTGACTCTTGGAATAAAGCCTTGGATCTGACCTTAGAGTTAAATACTATTTTGTCTCCCTCTACACTAGACTAGAATCTATGGAAAACTCCTGAAGAAAATCACCTTTAGGACAGATGATTCCCAAATGGATTCTACTATGTGAGGTGTATAAACAAAGAGAATTCTTACTGTGTACAATTTAGAATGAGGAACAAAGTTAAATTAGGCAATGAGTATGCAGAACTCAGTGTAAAACCAAAGAATTCATAATAGGCTTGTCTATACATTAAACCTCAGACTACTAAATACCTTTTCAGAGATGAGACTGATTATAGGGACATGCCTCAGAGAAACTTATCTTTTGGTACTAGTTCCTTTGGACAACCTGCTGCTTCTGCATGTCAGACAGAAAGAAGACAATACCTTTAGCAGCAGCTCTATAACTTCAGTGTGGACAAGCCCATGCACTGGTTCCCCGTTGATGTTCGTTATCAGATCTCCAGCCTTCAGTCCTGCTTGGTACGCTGGACTTCCTTCTTCTACATTCTAAAGTCCAAGAGGAAAGTATAAGCAAACTAATGGCACTGCTAATACCTACTGGTTCTTCTGTCAGGATATTCAGAATCAACTTGCAAATGATCCTAAGCTCCTGGTAAGAAATCAAAAAGGCGTAATTCCTGTCCTGCTACTGTTTACAAAAAAATAGGCTAATTCCTATGCTTCCTTTAAAAAATTCAAGTGATTGAGAATGTAATTTTTAAAAACAGACTGGGGGAAGAACAAGAAATGAAAAAGAGAACAAAAACAAGATGATGTCTACCAGCTTGGTATGCAAGAGTGGGCAAACTGGATAGAATTAGGAGAAATGATTCGTTTTTCCTAAATCCAATTCCACTACATAAAGGGAAACAGCACTAAAAGGAGAATGAAATAGGTCCCAAAAGCCAGCTTACCAGAAAATACATTTGTCATTAACTATGCTTCAGCCAACTGATCCACTATCCAATCTGACTGGGAACGAAAGATAATGAGTATGAGGCTGCCGGTCTTACCCAGACGATGTGGTGCACTGTATAGATGTCGCTGTCTCCCACATACACCCGGATGGCTCGGATGGTGAACCCATAGTTCTTCCCTGAACTGTGGATCACAATGGGCTGGTGGGGACTGGCAGAAGCTGCTGAAGAATCTCTGCTGGGAGAGGAATCTCGTGAAGAAGAAGGGTCCGAGGACAAAGAGTGGGGAGACATCGGACTTCCCAATGGAGAAACAGCAAACATATCTGCAACAAAGAAGCCAACCATCAAAGCCAATCCTGGGCACACAGGCATCCATGCAGCCAGCCCTAACCATGGGAGCCCTGCCAGAATCAGAAACAGAACCAAAAAACAAAGCCACTTGTGTCTAATGGCAAAATAAGGAAGAAATTAGGCAAAAATGCTTATACTGGTACTGGCATGTATTCCAAAACCACCAAGGAAACATAAAAAGTATCTCTATTTTAACTAATTTTTCAATTAATACACTAAAGTTATGATTTCTTAGTTCTCTATACTAATTATAAGACACCAAGATTTGCTACTTTCTGACTATGATATTTTTTATTTCAATTAAATAAATTTATAGATGTAGCTCAAGTATGTCCTCATGAAGAGAAGATTATATATACAATATTAAAAGACATTGGCCTCCAAATCTACACTAAACAATTTAACATGGTTTTTTTCCAAACACACATGGCCAGGAAAACAATGATCAACTTACTAGCTGCTTTTTCATATGCTATTAGACTAGTATTAATTAACAAACTTTAATCAAGAAAACACTAATGTGGTAAGCATTCTATAAAAAAATTACTATGATTACAACTGATTCTCTTCATCAATTAGCTGCAAATATAATAAGGTTTCTTGCAGGATAAGGTAGGTAAGATAGAAAAACTAAATTCATATTCTAAAACACTATTTCTACTGTTTTATAAACAAATTGCTATGTTTTGAATGTTTTTGTTCCCCCAAAATTCATAAGCTGAAACCTAACCTCCAAGGTGACAGTATTAAGAGGTAGGGCATTTGGGAGGTGATTATGTCATGAGGGCCCTGCCTCTAATGGGGTTAGTGGTTATAAAAGAGGCCTGAGGGATCCTGCTCACCCCTCTGCAGGTGAGAACATATAGAAATGCCTCTATGAACAAGCCCCCACTAAGACACCAAGGCTTCTGGTGCCTTGATTTTGGATATCCCAGTCTCCAATGCTGTGAACAACAAATTCTGTTGCTTATCAGTTGCCAAGTCTAAGGTATTATGTTATAGCAACCAGAGTAGAAGAAGACACTAGGATACTTTCATAGTTCATGTCACTGTAAACATATTTTAACTGGCCTTGTGAAATTGTGTGTGTGAGAAAAAGCAAAGTAATCTAGAGAGAATGTTGATGTTCAAATGTGAGCCTAGTAAGGACCAGGCTACAGGGTGCCTGGGGTGGGTGAAGACTCACAGGGATGATCCAAGACTTGTACCATCCAAAGAAGACCAAAGCTAAGTGTATCTCTACCAGTGTTCCCTTCTTCTGACTTCATGCGGCATTCTGCTTCTCCTTGCTGGCTACCTTTTGTCTAATCCAAAAGTCCAATGAAGAGAGGTAGACTGGTAGGCAGAGAACCTCGCAACATGTGAGAGGAGAGGGGACACACAGATCCAAAGTAAAAAGGCCAGGCCCCAATCCTCTACTCATATATCCCAATTGAATGACTTCCTAATTTTAGCAAGATATGGGCTGTCTGACTGGCTCTCCAAAGTGGACTTGACCACACCAAACTCGCCAAGCAGCTGTACTGGGGCCACTCGTTTGGATTATGAAAGACCATGAAGACAGGGAGATAAGTATCTGCTGCCTGGTGCTAAATGGGATGTCACCCAGAAAAGAAACTACTACAGTGAGCACTACCCCCAAATGAGGATTTGTTTCTATCAAATTTTTTTCTGTGTACAAATAGAAAATTTCAAAAATGTAAAGAATCCCTCTTTTTCATTTATCTGTATTCTTCCAAGTACAAGCCATCTGCAAGATAGGTTAACCCAGTTGCCACCTCCTCTTTCTCGCCATCATTTGAGTGGTGTCAGGGCCATCAGGGTGTCTATCTCATCTCTGTCAGTGGACTTACTAGAGACTTGGTGATTAGTTGAGGCAACAGAACCATAATCAAGCCCAGTTTTCCAAAACAGGGCCTACAATGCTTTGCCTACCAGTAGGAGGAAGCATAGGGTTGGGAAAACTTGCAACTTCAATGCATCTGTGATGCTCTGTATCTCCAGAAACGCAAAGCTTACATGTTCTGTGTCTATGTTCTCACTAATTAGCTGAGAAAAACTATACTTAGGTTTCTAACACTGATGTTGTAAATAGTTCTATAAAGTATATAAATGATATATGGTCTACAGAAGAAGAAAAATTATTCTTGAGAGGTAAATTTATCATTTAGCTTGGGGGGAGAAACTAAAAGAGTCTTCAGGGGAATAAACACATTCAGGAAAATCTCATTCCCTGATGCAGAAAGGGAGATGAAACAGACCGCACATGCTCTGTGGGAGCCCCGGAGGGCCTGCAGGGAGAATTCAGGGGTCTGTAGATAGAAGCTCTTAAGAGCCATCCTAGGACACCACCCGTGACTGCTTTAAGCAATCTCACATCTCAACCAGCATTCCACATTGCGGGAGGGAGGAGAGGAGCACATGCACAAGTCACACAATTTCATGCGAGTAGATGTCTCTCTACCTCCTGGGATCATGAGGGACAGAGCACTGGCAGAAAGGGACTTTGTGACTTTCCCCGAGATTTTCTTTTTTTCTGTGCTTTCTAATCGCTGTCGAGCCATGTGAGAAGCGGGTTCATTGGATGGCTTTGTGGAATTATCTGTACTGTCCACACACTCGCTCCGTCCATTTATCTGATCCAAGTGCTCTGAAAAACTGCCAACTGTACAAAGAAGAAGGAATAAACACATTCAGGAAAATCTAGGATAGAAGAGGTAGAGAAGGAAGAGAGAGGAGGAAGGACAAATACTGGGGGCTCACAAGTCCATACGGTGTCAGGTCAACATAAAAACACGTAATTGTTAGAGAAAGGTAACGTGGAGGTGGAGGAGGAAGAGGCAGAAGAGGTGTTTATTCAGGCTTCATTGTCCTTGCACACAGCTTGCTAATTTCTCAGTCAATGATTCCATTTTACTGGAGGAATAAATGACTTTCTACAATCTATATTCCTGAACCTGTGTAGCGATGCATCTCCTCCCCTGTCCCCATGAAAGGCTGTGCTGCATACATGGGTTACCCTAGGGACCCGTGATTACCCATCTCATACCCTAACACTGATGCTCATCATGCGACTAAAAGTTTTGACATGGGACATGATTAAATTGTTGTAGGCTTTCCTCTGCTTCTCATTCTACAGCCTTCCTCAGACACACTTCATAAGCTCAGGTATGTCACTTACAGAACAGAGCAGAAGGTGTCTCTAATTCCACTGATGGTCTATGCCTCCTTTCACTCCAAGTTCCTTGCAAATTTCAAGGGACAAGATATAGTATACTCACCACACTTCTCTCTCTTCATCTCCTGGCTTTTAATCTAGATAATGTGTCATGCTGATCCTCCCCGAAATTATTTTCCATTTCCTCTAAGTCTGTTTTTAATTTCATTAATGCTTCGCATAAGCTGGAGTTGTTTTTATTATTCGGGAGGTAACAGTACTGAGGTTTGAACTCTGGGCTTCCTGTTTACAAGACAGGTGCTCCTCAGTTTGAGCCATGCCTCCAGACTTTTTTGCTCTGGTTATTTTGGAGACAGCGTCTCACGTTTTGCCCAGACTGTTCTGGACTACAAATTCTCCTCTCTTATGCTTCCTGCTGTCATTGGGATGACAAGTATGTGCCACCATGCCCACCTTTCTTCCTAGTGAGATAGGGTCTCAACTTTTTTTTGCCTGGGCTGGCCTTGAACCATGATCTTCTGTGTATCTCAGCCTTCCAAGTAGCTAGGATTACAAGCATGAGCCACCAGTGCATAACTCTGGAGTTATTTTTAAGTTAAAAAATGGGGACAGTTCCCTCAAGAGAATGCAAACGCGTAGAAATGGATGTAGAGATGGAGAATGATAAAGGCCGAGGATAAAGAAAGTTCTCAGGTGTGTTGAGTCTCTCAGATGCAAATGGAGCAGCTACCCATCTTAGTTGCTCCTATTCTTTATGCCCCAGGTTATCCTTTTTTTTTTGGCAGCACTGGGGTTTGAACTTAGGGCCTTGTTCTTGATAGACAACTAACTGCTCTATAACTTGAGCCATTCCCCCACCCTTATTTGCTTTAGGTTATGTTTCAGATAGGGTCTTGCATTTTTGCCCAGGCTGGCCTCAGACGATCTATGCCTCCCACATTGCTGGGATCCATCTTGCCGGTTTGTTTTCTGAGATGGGGTCTTACTAACTTTTTGCCTGGCCTGGCCTCTAACCGTGATCCTTCCAATCTCTGCTTTCCAAGTAGGTGAGATTACAAGTATGATCCACCAAGCCTGGCCTCTATTTTCTTTCTCTTAAAGTCATTGATAATATTTTTTCCATTCAGAAAAGGCAATGATCAACTCATAAATATGTCATAAATTTTAGGTATAAGATAGAAATATAAAGTTTCTGAATTATAGAAGCCTCCTATGCTTAAAAATCATCAACTCTACTATCATCTTAAAATCTACAATCCATGCAGACTATGTAATATCATTATAAATGATCCTTTGAAAGACCATCCATCACATTTTAAAGTGTTGATCACAGGGCATTCTTATTTGATAGAACTAACATTTTAATTACACTGCTCCACATACCACATGACCGTACAGCTCTTGTCTGGCCATGTTTTATGAAGGGGCACTGACCTGGCAGCTCTGGTCTATACTAAGGGAAGCCTGAGAACTGAAAGGGCAGGTGTGGGCACAGCACACTTGCTGTACAGACAGGAAAAGTTTTGTGGACTTCATGGATTGCCCAGCAGGCCAAATAAAAACACATGATCTTAAAGTACATGGCAACTATCCTTTTATTCTTATATGCTAAAACACTCTCACCTATAATATCTCCATTCCATTCCCTTAAAAGAAATGAGTTCTTGATGGAGTTGATCAAAACTGCTTCACTAGTCAAAAATTTCGTCTCCCCAACTTAAGCATACCTTTGGACTAGTTACACACTTCCTTTCTCTTTCTAATTGCATTTGGATGAGATCAATAATGAGAATAAAATGAAAATGAAAAGCTGAATCTCTTTATAGAGAGTAACTGTTGAGTGCATTTAATCACCACACCTGATTTCAAGACTCACTTTTCAAGGATTCAAATACAATGTGGTCATGAAAAAAGAGAAGCAGGTATAAAGTGTACTAAATGCTAAAGTGGTGTGAATGCACAATTTTCTCTTCTCTCCACCATCCCACTTTGCATCTAAACTTGTGCTTCTTTTCTGCCAATGGTGGATAATGTCACCTTAATATTCTCTAAATGTCAAGAGTTCCTTCTTTTTGATGGTAGAGCAGTATAAAAATCAACAAATTTAATTTTACTACAGTCATGGTTTTCAGGTTCCCTAATTACCCTTGGCTATAAGTAAATCAGCTCATCTCTCTATTCTGTATAGCCCCCAAGGTCTTTGATTATTTTTATTGTGCATATCGGGGAGAAAGAGAGAGAAAGGTGGTTGGAATCTATTAATCAAAATGCAGGATGTGAGGGCGATCTGGCTGCGACATCTGTCACCCCATTGATCGCCAGGGTTGATTCGGCTGATCTGGCTGGCTAGGCGGGTGTCCCCTTCCTCCCTCACCGCTCCATGTGCGTCCCTCCCGAAGCTGCGCGCTCGGTCGAAGAGGACGACCATCCCCGATAGAGGAGGACCGTTCTTCGGTCAAGGGTATACGAGTAGCTGCGCTCCCCTGCTAGAACCTCCAAACAAGCTCTCAAAATGCATAGCAGGACTCAGGCAGATATGTTTTAATTATAAAGCAATCAATCAAATGTTTAGATACTACTTCCCTTCTTTCACCCCCTTACCTTTCTGATAGTGAGTAGGATGAAGATACTAAGAGAGAGTAAACAACTCACCATATTAAGGACAAGTTTTTAAATGGAGGTGAAAATATTCACCTCCAGATGGGGACCTTTGTAACCAGTAATATAAAATATACTGAGATATCTACATTTGGTCTGAGTACCAAGATGACCTAAAAATGGCCAGGAATCTGAGAGGCTACTTCTACATTTCTATTCTCTTTGTTTTATAATTAGAATAAGTGGAATTATCCAATGTTGAAAGAGAAGTGAGGTGAAGGAGAAGAAAAGAAAATCTAACATTTTTCTCCATGATCAGCTATAAGCATAAGTAAAACTCCATAGAACCAAACTTTTTCTTGAGGCTGAAATAAATCTAGTCTGGGAAGTTGTTGTTGTTTTAAGTGATTATAAAAAAATCTTATACTGTGAATATTTAGCTAGTTTTTAAAAGGCTGATGAAAAATGTTAGAAGCATTATGGTTATCAATATAGCATATTGAATATGACTTAGTGAAAACATTACAACCATAACCCTGTCCATTTAATTTTTGAAATTTATATAGAGCACACTGCTCTATAGAAGGATATGTTGTAAAGAAAATTTTTATAAACCAAAAGATATTTTAAATATACCTCAAAGGCACGCTCTCATGGAAGTCCAGAAGTATCTTTTGTGGACAGTGGAGTTATTTCCCATAAGATAAGATACCAACTGAAAGTGCATCAGTATTTCTGACTCACCTCTCCCTCCCAGTCCAAGATGCAGCAGAAGCTGTGCTGTGAGCCTCACCACATGAGTGTCTTGCTGGGCTCAATGTGAGTCCAAGTGGGCAGGGATGAGTTGTTTAGTACAACATGACCTCTCAACAGAAGCCAACAGCATCCAGGTCAGTGCTGTTGTACCTTGGAGTGACTTGAGACATTTTTTAGTATAATTTTGATGATTTGGATATTTAATATTGTCCCTTACTCTGAACTCTGAGTTGGATGAAACCCTACAAGATTTATCTTTGCATTAACAGCTGAGAGCAAGTTCCATTAGCAAGTTATTACTAACACCAGAGGATCCCACTGAAGCCAGCTGTGGAAGCCAAGGCTGGGTCAAGGTGAGATGAAAGCCAGAACAGTTTAGTATATGGCCCTGCACCAAGGAGGGGCTGAGACAGCTGATCTGTGTTCTTAGGAGTTTGTTCCTCATCCCCAGAAGGGGGGGTATGGAAGGAAGGCATATAGAGTATGAAACACCCATCATCATCACCTGGCCAGGCCAGCCCTGGGACTTGGACCACTTAGAACCACTTTTCAGTGTGGTTCCTGAGGGTGGCGGGCAGTGTCCAGCAGCTTACCTGAGAGGGTGGAGCTGCTGATGGTACTGGCCGGGGTGGTGACCTCAGGCTCCTCCTGAGTACACTCTTCAGGAGGAAGAACTGGCTTTTCAGGCTCCTCTCGGGGGTCTCCAGGGCAGGAGGTGGCTTCATCTTGCTCCCGCTCTGTTGAAATGGCCAGTTTGGGAAGCAGGCCAGAACTGAGTTTATGCCTGTTGCTTTCAGTATCTGAAGAGTTGGATGTCGATAACTGTTGTCTTAATTAAAAACAAAAACAAAGTCATATATCTACACTAGGAAACTGTGCTAAAGGCAAATGTTGGGGACAAGCAAGTACAAACTGAACTTGGCTAAGCCTAACCACAACATGTCCAGTGTGATGGTTATTAAGTGTGGTACCCAGGCAGGCAGCATCAGCATGACCAGGAACTCACATTCTCAAGACCGGTGCCAGGTCTATAGAATGGAGTCACTGCAGGAAGGTCCAGCATTGGCGTTTTAACAACCTCCCCCCTCCCTGTGGTGATTCTGATGGTTGCCACAGCTTGGGAATCACTGTCTTAATGACTGCTGCTTATGAGAGTACTTGGGAGGCATCTCACATACACTTCAGAATATTCCGAACTCCAGCTTAATGTTTCTGTGGATGGCAGAGTTGTGCTTTTGGTTTTGTCCCCAGAGTCTTCTTTTTCTTCTCCTGAATTCTGAGTTATTCGATCTATACTGCTGAAAACCTGGAAGGCAAATAATCAGTGCTTAGTAATATCTTCTAGAAGAAGCTTGTCAGATAAAACCCAAGTCCTGGAAGAAAGGAAAAAACCTGAGAATTTACTAACATGTTAACTGGAACTAGATATTCAGAAAGTACTGGTACCGGTCCCAAGGAGACCATCGTTGAAAAAAATCCGAGCATGCCCAGGATACATAAGTTCAAGGCTGTACTGTGGACGCTCGATTCATTTTCCCTGTACACTGCCCGACTTCTGCTAAAGACATGCCACCTTTCCACAACTCTCACATTTTCACTTTATCACTTCAAGTAAGCACATTCACTTTAACCTTGCTGTTTACCTCCCCATTTTGTTTTGGGGAGGTATGTTTTCTCAAAATTTCGGTCAGGGAAACATTGGGCACACAACAATTTAAACACAGTGATGATAACGTGGGACTGACTGAGAGCTTCTTTGTACTGACTGAGCTTTGTAGTGCACATGTGAGAATTTAGTTTTGATATTTATTTATTTAACCATGCTTATTCAAAACCATATGTAATAAGTCCATGAATAGGGCAGTTTACTGAACTTGAACCCTGAGATGAAGGGTTTGTGTGTGCGTTTTGGAGTGGGAAGATAAGAATTCATATTCCACACACACACCTTTTTTCACCGTGTCTCTTGGACTTTGTATCTGTAAACAGAATCCATAGATGCATTGGGACTTCTCAGCCTCAGGATCAATGCACATCTTAGATTACTTTTTAACCATGAGGCTAATAAGAAAAAGAAAATAACACAGAAAGAAGGTACAATAGCCACCAGTCATGGGTAGGAAGGAGAGAAATGAACTGAAATTTAGAGCAAAAAAAGAATAAATGGTCTGTTTCAAGTTTTGGGTGGGAAAGTTGGTGGGGAGAAGGCAGGGTTGTGTTATACACTTGGTTGTAAGAGCCAGACAAACTTGTTTGGCTTACAGATCACATACAGAGTCAAGCAGCTCCTGATGTTGATTCTGGATTTCTAGCAGGAGACCAGAGTTTAGGAAACAGGAGGTTTCAACCCATTTCTGAATCCCCACTGTTTCATAGGAAAGATGGGAGATTAAACAGGGGCACTGAGTGCCCAGTGCTGGAAGTGGGCTCCCTTGCCTTGCTCAGCTACTTGCTGCTCTCATGGGACGGCCCTTAGACAGCCTACAATCTACCAGGATGAGAAAGAAAAGATTAGGCTGAAGAGCAGGAGACAGGAAAAATGAACTTTCCAAAGCAAAGAAGGAAGCAGTGTTTGGGTGAGCTTTGGGGCCCAGAGTACAGGTTCTCTAAGTGCTGATTTATGTTTGCAAAGCTTTTGTCCTGGCTCCCAGACAGACTTGCTACCACTTTCTGTAGGGAACTCTCTACCTTTACATCATTCCTACAAATAGAGAAGGTAGCACTGGCCAATTTGCAGATGCACTCTGGGTAATCACTTAGAAAAACCTACAGAGCATTTTAAAATCATGCAATGCTATAGAAAAGCTAAACAATAGTCATGTAAAATGTCATGGCAACAGAAAATATGTAGCAACTGAGAATAGTAAAAAGGAGGTATGATGCCCTGTGGGTTTATTTCCATTTTTCTTGGGCCCTACCCTGCCTCAACACTATCAATTTTCTTAGTGTTTTTTTTTTTTTAATCTCACCACAAATTCATAAAAAGGCATTTTTCTCAAGCATTGATTTTATTATCTTCTACCATTTCCAAAATTCTAGGTTGGCTTCCTACTGCTTTTTCAATGTAACTTAATTTCCAACTAAATACTTTCTTTTGGGAGGCAAGGACAGAAGAATCACAAGTTTGAGGCCAGCCTGGACCACATAGCAAGACCCTGTCTCAAAAATAACAATAAAAATAACACTTTGTCATCCCATAGTCAATTATCCCCAATCACGTTGTCTTCTGTCAAGGGCTGAGCATTCTCCTTGTGTTGTTTTGTGTGGCTCCACATACAATGAAGCTCACATTCTTCTTTATAAGAGGAAAGAAAAGAGGGGAGACCACTATAGCCTGCCTCTTAGCTAGCCGAGGGGATCCATGAGCAAGTTCATCAGATAAATGGCTATCACAAGGACATGACTACGATGCAAGTCTATGCCTCCAAAGGGAAAACAAATAAAATTTAAAAAGGAATTTTAATTTGTGGAGAGAAAGATACTTCTACCATAGGGTGGGGACTAGTAATTATCAGGATGATGGGGCTGTTTTTCTTACATAAAAATCAGTTTTTAAGCAAAGGAGAGCTCCCACAAAGGGTAGGCGGTTTTATAATCCAGTACAGCTTCTGAGGGTACCAGCAACTGGTCCATGAGAGACTCTCCCAGACACTCACTTTTGAAAACCTGTGAGAGCACGAGGAAAACTGCCTGATTTCCACGGTGAAGTCTTCATCATTTGTGTCATCTTCTTCCTCAGTTTCCATGTGATGATATTTCTCTGACCGAGCTGCAGAGAAATGTTGGGGAACAGTTCCAATTACTCAGGGTTTTGGCTTTTAATTTAGATATTTTAATTATGAGTTCCTGCATCAAAGCAACATTATGTTTGAGAACGTGTAGGTATGAGATTGGAAAGCTCAAACTTGGATGATTTTTTTTATGAAGCAAAGGCCAACAGTTGTCTTATGTCAGATAACGCACGTACTATCAAAATAACTTGTGTCATCCTCCGATTCCAGTTGGGGAATAAATTCTGCCTTCTGTCTCAGCAAACTGTTCCAGTCTAAAGATCGGAAGAACCGATGCTGCTTGACTTCATATGCACCACCTGGAAGGGCAGGGAGTAGAGGCAGAGAAAGAGGGTAAGTTAGCCTTCAAGCAAAGATAAGCATTGGGTCTTAAGAATGACTCTTTTTTTCTTTTTTTAATCTATCTGCAGAGAAATAAAATAAAGTCATGGAAATCATAATTTTCTGCACTAAAACTCAAAAATTTTTCTCATAATTTATCAGCAGGAGATCTGATTTTGCTAGTAGTAGTTGCTAAGGTACAGCTTCTCGTTTGTTAATTTTTCCATGACTTCCTCCATTTTTCAAAGGTTAACGATGCAGCCACTTAAAATCATATTATGCTGAACCTGGGGATGTGGACTTATGTTGGCCCAAAGCCGACTCACTCATTACAAACCCAGAAAAATTCTAACAAGGTGCAAAATGTGTTCACAGCAATATTTCCTCTGGAGGTAAGGATAATAATGATAAATTTTTCCTAAATACTATAAAATGGTTACTAGTCAATTTTATTGGATTGCTCATTAGCATATGTAGGAATTAGATTCTGTGGCTTAGATTCTTAAGTAAGGAACTGACAGACCTATTTGATAGATTTATAGTACATCCAAATTCAAATCAATCTCAGCTCCTAAATTGAAGCTTCTTTTTGCCAAATCAGCATAATAGCTCAATTTGGTGAGATGTTTTTTAATTCAGTTCTTGATTTTAAAGAGTGATTTTGAAGGGCAGGTCTCATTAAAAATATTAACACCACACCCCATATAAAGAGAAGAAGGTGCACATTTTAAAATCATAGCACGACATAAAAATCATAGCACTAGAACCAGGCCTCCACCCAGCCACCAGCACACATACTGTTGATGAGAGACATAACAAAGAACAGATTCTGAAAACCACTAGGAAGAGAGATTACTCAAAAGACTAATCCCAGGGTCTAATCAGCCTCCCTGCTAGGATAGCTCCTCTACCTGGAATGCCAATGCTTCTCTCACACAGTTGTTACCCAGCTCTCAGCCTGTCCTCTGTGGGATACAAAAGGAACAGGATGGGAAATGCAAGTGAGATGGAAAATGGGTTGAGGATTGTGTTTGGAGAAAGGTGCTGTCCTTTGGCTCTGTCCCCATTGGGTCCCACTAGCACAAGGCACAGTTTTGTCTCTAGACAAAGAGCAAAGTGAGGGAAATCACGCCGAAGAGGGGAGAATGGATTCTTCTTTTTAAGCCCATTGGATTAGAACATTTCTCCTGGATTCTATCAGGTATTTCCCACAATATTGTTTTCTAGCATAACACTGAAGTCTGAGGTGCATCACAACAGTGGTATCATTAGCTTCTATGATTTGTGGGCCAACTGTATGCCAAGTATTGTAATAGGTGCTGAGACGTCTTATTTTCTTTAATTAAATCATTGAATCTATTTATATGGGAAAACTAAGGAAAAGCAATATAAAGATACTAAGAAGGTAAGGATGAGAGGGCTAAACTGAGGTAGAAACATCCAGCCTTGGTGCCAGTCACCCTCCCCCACAAAGCGCAGGCGTGCTCCATCTCTGCATCAGTTTGCAATGGAGTCACATTTGCCAAGACTGGGTAACTGTGCCCTACACCTGACTGTTTCACAGCACCTGCATACATCCCACTCCAGTCCACAGTACAATTTGGCTCTCATCTACCACAATCAATGTCCCCAGCACAGCTGCCAGCATCATTTCTTCTAATGCTCTTTCACTTGGGGGAGTGGGATATGAAGGCCAAGAGCGTTTCAATGTTTCCCTATCCACCTCCTTCACCATGCTGACTGAGATCCAGAGTCAAGCCCTGATGAGTGGCTATGACACACAACTCTGGACTCTTCACCAAGCCATGAGGTAAGCACTTCAACTTTACCCAGAGAAGCAACTGCTCCAAAGCCAGGGCTCGCCAGGCACATCCAGACCACAACTCCACCCTGTCTTCCCACATTGTCCTCCCTGTGGACAATGATAAATGGGTCCTCCTGGAAGAGTCTCAGCCCGCTGAGAATGTAGCTCACATTTCTCACCCTTTGGCCTTCGGGCCCCACGGAGAAGCTGGTTATCAGTGGGGGTCCTATTTCTCATGCACTTATGGACAGATGAGGAAGAAAAGAATTAAAGGGATAAACTGAGAGGGAGCTGACCTCTGGGTTAAAGCATAGGTGATGGCATTAAGGGATAAATGCAAATCACTTATGCAAAGATAGCTCTACTGTGAGAATTCAGCACAGAGGGAAAGAAAGGGAAGCGGATTGTTCTGAGCTCCTTTTATACACTAGGTGCAAGCACTTAGATACCTTCATGATTTTGTTTTGTATGTAGCAGGGATTGAACCCAGGGGTCTTGTGCATGCGAGGCAAGTACTCAACCATTTGGCCACCCTCCCAGCCCTTTGGGTTTGTATTTTGTTTTTGAGATAGACTCTAGCTAACTTTCCCTAGGCTGGCCTGGAACTCACAATCTTCCTGCCTCTGCCTCTGGAATAGCAGGGATTATAGCACATACCACCATGCCCAGCTCTTCTCTTCATGAACATTTTTGCATTTATTCCTCACAATAATCCTGTCACGTGTGTGTGTGTGTGTGTGTGTGTGTGTGTGTGTACATATAATATGTTATCCATTTCCATAGACTAGGAAGCTGAGACTAAGGGCAAGGAAGAAACTGCTCAAGATCTCACAGCTGGTACATGGTGGCAGTCACATCTGAGTTGCTCTAAGGTCCAATGGGCCAGGCTGCCACTCAACTCTCTACAAGTTCAACAGTTTAGTTCAAGTAGGACAAGGTCCAAAATTGCAAGCTATGTTTTGGCACTAACATTCTCCTCGAGTTTTCTGTCTTTTCATGGAAGATTCTTAAACATCCATTATGCTCTTCACACCCTTTTTCTCAGCTTCTCTAGTCTCTTGTGCAAATGTGCATTCACACATTTTCACGGTGCATTATTTTCCTCACTAAATATGCATTAAATACTAAATGCTGTCATTGGAAGCAGCATGGCAGGCCTGCAGGAGCCCCAGCCTCATTCTCCGAGGCCCTTCTGGAACCTGTCACATTGGACCTGCCTGTTTGGCAATCACTCCTTGACAATGCTAAGAGCTTGGGCAGGGTCTTTTAAATGTCTCTTTTGAGCTTCTGCTAGGGGATTTGTTCCTCAAGCTGTCAAAGCTGAAAAGACTGAAAGTAGCAGTCAATGAGAAAACGTGCACAGATGACTTGCAGCATATGTACACGTAACTGGAATATGCTGACCACCATTACAGCCCTGTCTTGTTAAGTCAAGCCCAATCAAGAATCCAAGCAGTCCTGGAGGAGGGGAAGGGAAAGAATACCAAGTGGAAAAACTCTCCAAGTGACACTTCATCAGCAGAGGGCTGGAAACTTTTGAGCCTCCTTTGGAAAGGGTGTGCCCAGCCAAACATATTTTTAGTTAGACCTTGAGAGGCCCTTTTTCTGAATCAGATGAACAGGATGTCTAAGTGGATACCAATGCCACTGCTTCTCATTTTTAGCTCCATGGAGTAAAAAAAATTCACCCTTAAAACTCTGCCACATAAACAACCATGACACAAATTCTTCGACAGCTACTCTTATCTATTGATCAAGAAGCAGATGTGACTGCAGGCCACAGAGGGTGGAAAAATGAGAAGTTTGCTCATCTCTTCAGGCAAGTGGAGAAGCAAATAGAGTGGGAAGAAATATAAAGCACTTAGTTGAAGGAGTTCAGTTGGGTGGAAGGTAGGGGTATGACCACCATGTGGTATCTCATATGTCCAAAGGGAATCCAGTAAATCCTTAATCTTGAAGGGCAGTGGTGCTTAATTCTCTTTCTTGGGTCATGGAACCAATCACTGTGATAGGCCAGCATGATTCAGCCTCCAGGCCTTCCATTACTAGTTATTAGTTCAAGTACTGATAACCCATTTCAAAGCCTGTGGATAATAATCTGCTGGTCGAATCTTTATGGAATATATTAAAACCAACAAAAAAAGAGCTCCACATATTTGATTCTTTGTTTCAAGTTATTTAAGATGCATGTTTTTCAGGACAGAAGAGTTTCATGTACCCTTGAGATTCATTTATTGAAGTAAATTAATAATTTCTGCTTTGCAAAACACAAAAACAAACAATAACTAACACTCCTAGTGTCTACTACACTGCTCTGAATCGAAAAAAAAAAAACCCAAATACTATTGCTAGAATGTGTTGTAGTTATGCCCTATATCAACCAACAGATGTTGCCTACACAAAAGCAAAACACAAAGCCTCAGATTGTTCCAGAAGACATTTTTTTCTGGAATACTGGCAAATCACATGCGTGTGCTCTAACCTGTTCCCAGCCTCTCCAGGGGATTCTGCCGAAGCAGCAAGGTAATCAGATCCTGGGCATCTGGTGGTGGAGCCTCATCCTTTTCAGGCCAGTTGATTTCATCTAGAAGGAAGAAAAGTAGTTTATAACTTTGCTGCTCAAAGGGTGGTCCAGGTCCCCACAGCATGGACATCACCTGGCCATGTGTTAGAAAGGAAGAATCTCAGACCTCCTGAACCACATCTGCATTTTTGATCTTCCGTTGTCTCCTATGCACAACCAAGTTTGAGCAGTATTATTTTACAACACACCAAACAACAACTGTCTACTACAAGGTATTGAGAGAACATTTTAATAAGCAGCATCTTTCCCTTTTTTTGTTTTTTTTTTAAGTTGGTTTTGATGGGGTCTTATGAACTTTTTGCCCAGTCTGGCCTGGAATCACGAGCTTCCTGATCTCTGCCTCCTGAAGCTAGGATTATAGCTGTGAGCCACCATACTGGGCCTATCTATACTTTTTAAATTTTGGAGCTGAAAGTTATCTTTAATGTGGTTGGGCTTCACTCACTTTTTACATTCATTTTTCTATAGTCACCCCTCCTGGTTATTAAGAGGATTTAATGTAATAGAAACTAAACACCTGCATTTCAGGTGTCCACCCCTTAAGGATCATCTAAGAGTGATATTTTTCTTTCTTACTATCCACAACAAGAATTTGGTCATGGCCATAGAGTCCCTCAGCTTCAGGAAGCAAAAAGTTATTCTTCAAACAAAAAAAATACTAATAATTATTTGTGGAGAAAAAGGAGATGCCAAAATGCTAAGACTAAAGACGAAAAGAAATACCCAAAGTAATCATAGTAATGGGAGTATTTAAAATCTGTCATAAATATTAGAATATGTTCTCACTCTAGAAGAGTTTGCCTGAAGATAGGTGTGTGTGCTTATGTATATGGAAATGCAATAAAAACATGAGTTATTTCTATGCGTGCCTGCCTCTAGCTTCCTCTGCTGCAGTTTAAATCTGATTTGGAAAATAAAACATGAATATGCATCAGAGCCGTAAGGCATTGAGAACAAAGCCAGCATTTGCTGCTTGTGTTAATTAAACAGTTGATTCCCCTTGCCATTCAGGCCCTTGGTATGTCAGAAAACAGCCTAGTTATAAATCCATAAAGAGCTCAGATATTGTATAAAGGGGTTACATACTGCAGGCAACTCACAAATCTACTTTGTTAAAGTTTACAAATATGCCTGGCTTGCAAAGTCAATGTCAGAAAATGCAAAGTGAATTTTTCCCCTATTCCCAGGGCTGGCCCATGTGAGCATAGTCCAGAATAGACCAGAGGTGGATGGAGATGTCAGCAATGTCTGACAAACTTTCAGGAAGAGAAGCGTTTTTCATCTATGCTTTGAGGAAGTTTCTAAAATCAGTAGGTAGGGTGGTGATGGATCCTATTTAATTATCATTTAGCTTTGCCACAAGCTGCATAACAATAGTTAGGGTCAGCTTGCAGGTTAAGATCTAAAGGTTATTGAATTTTAAATGAAAGATGAACAGCTGTTACAGAAATAACATTACACCATAACAACTACCAATGAAATCATTAACAATCTGTGGATTCAATTTGCTTCCTTCCCATTCTCATTATTTATTATTTGGTAGACATTTGTTTTAGGTTTTATTACATTTTTGTTAATTTCTTCATTGTGCCATTAGCCATTTTTCCCATTTATATAAATGTTACCCACATTAACCTTTTCTTCCCTGGTGCAATTTTCCTATTATGGAAAGGAAGACTGGACGACAATTAAGTCATTTGTAAATCCCACACCAATTTCTTTTACGAAAAATAGTACACGATAAAAGTTGGATACATCGCCAGCACATTTCCAAACTCAATGTTAACAAAACTTTCTCAGATCAATTTTCAACACACATTGCTCTCTTGAGATTGTGAAAGTCAGTTATGTGCTATGATGAGTGAGTTCTTTTAATTTGTTGGCTCAACTGTTTGATAAAGGTTAACACTTTAGTTGCAAAAACTGTGACACCGAACAGATTTACATATAAGAACTGCTTCCCAACAGTGGCTTAAAGATAACTCCTGGTGATACTTACCACTGATGACTTGTCCAAATAGCTCTTCTGGAGTATCCCCAAAGAATGGCACACATCCAACCAGAAATTCATAGAGGATAATCCCCATGGCCCACCAGTCTACCGGCTTCCCATAGCCCTGTCTCAGAATCACTTCGGGGGCAATATATTCAGGTGTGCCACAGACCTAAAAAATGATTGCAATATTAGAATAATTGTACTATTAGACATGAATTAAAATATACAAAATGACTAAATACCAATTATTTTGCCTACAGAGCACCTGCTCAACTACATGGAACTATGGGCAAAGACCTTAAGAATAGCAACTGTAAGAATCTATAAGACCAAGGCAAATTATCACTTCAACACCAAAGAGGAGAACTTTACAATTCTGCTTGAATGTTAAACTGTGGGTAATGTTTAGTTTCAAATTGAGAATATGGCTCTCTTTGGAAATTTTACAATATTAAAGCCATTTGTAATCCATAAATTTAAAATAATATTGCATTTTTTAGTCTGTCACTATTGGAGATAGTTTTATTATTTATATGAGCAAACTGCTCCTCGCCATGGTTATATCCCAAAGTCAGGATAGTTGAGATGTTTACCTTAAGTAACTTTACAATGAACAGATTGTGGCACATGGTAATGAGGCATGCTTAAAGGGAAATGGGCCATGGCTCGGATTTCAGTGCCCGTGACTGTACAATGCATCATAAGTTTCACAAGTACTCTACTGAGACTCCTGAATTCCTTACAAAAACAGTTTTCCATTTGTCTCTCTCATACTCTCACTTGTGTGCAATTAGATCGTTCATCTTGCTAATAGACCATAATGCTGGGAGAGGATGGTGGAGGGAGTGGACAGTTCAAAGAGGCCCAGAGAGACAAATGGGAGCAATTTGCACTTTATTAAATGTAAGGCTTATACAGACATCTAAACCACTCGTCCTAATGTGAAGATGGCCTACACAAGTTGATTGTGAATTTCATTGGCTACACCATACTTTGTATTTCTCTGTAAAGTGGAACAAGACCAAGCTTACCTGTTTATCCAGGAACTCTCGGGCATCCTTCTCAATATGACCCTCATAAAGGTTGGTAGTCATGCTCATTAGTCCCACCTTAGATAATCCAAAATCTGTCAGCTTTATGTGCCCCATGGAGGTGACCAACAGGCTGTGAAGCAGAAGGACACAGGAACAACAATCACTTATGTATTTTAGGTTCCCATTTCCCCCCATCAATTTGTAAGACTATTAAATAGACTGGTACCAGCTTTATTACAAAACCTAGCCTGGAAAGAGAAAAAGTCACACAAAGATGACAAGTACTTGCATCTAGTAGCTAAGGGTAATTTATGAGGAAGGGCCACAAATCATTGTTGTAGCACACGTATAGTATCTTTTCACCAAACCCCAAAGCTCTTAGAAAACTGCAGTGTGGAACTGGGACTCTTTCCATTTTCAGATGGAGAAAATAGAAAGGGCTAACATGTCATATGACAGGAACTAGGAGAAGGAACCCATCTGTGATTCAAATGAGACAGAAAGAACTTGGACCAAAAAATGTAGTATTGTTTCACATTTCAACTTTAAGATCTAACTTAAATGTCTATCCACAAAGAAAAAAAAAAAAACAACTTGCATTTCTCATATATGAAAAGACTTTGCATTTGAATATATTTTAAATGTTTCATTGTTAAGTCAAAAAATTAAAATTAAATATCATATATAGTATTGAATTGATTAAAAAATTTAAAGGAATAGAATAGAAGAAAGCTACTGGAAGGAAATATGACAAAATTCTAATAGTTGCCTTTGGTAATATAAGGATAAAAGTGGTATTTTCCCTGTGCTTTCCAAATTTTCTGAAATGAGCATGATCAATTTTATCATGAATTTTCCACATGCTTAAAGTTTTGTCTTTTTTTTATGGTACTGGGGGTTTGAACTCTGGACCTCACATTTCCTAAGCAGGTGCTCTACCACTTGAGCCACTCCACAAGCCCTCACTTAAAGCTTTTATGTACTAACATGTAATGTTTTTAGGGACATCTCATAAGAGACAACACAAGATATTTAATAAATGGGATCAATATGAAGAGCCAGTTATATCTGAATTTCAAATCAGATACCACCATGAACTCCATGTAAATTAAAAACAAACAAAGTATGATTAAATAGAATATAATATCAAGCATATCATATTGAGATAGGGAAGGATTTATCTAAGTATCATAGCAAATGCAAAAACTATCCAGAAAGCAGCTAGCAGTATTCCATATTGCTACTCAAAAGTTAACTACATTAAAAAGAAACTTTAAAAGTTGTCTTCAGAATCATTTTTCTTCTATTTCTCATAAGTTCCTCTTACAAGCTGATAGCCTTTATAGAATTATATAAAATTACCATGTACATTATTAAAATAACTCATTTTGGGCATAATAGGAGATTCTTTTAATTGTGCAAATAGCATTAAGAGAAAACATTTCATAGACATAAGAAAACATTTGGTATTGTGTGAAAGAATGCATATGCTTCACTAGTATACATACTTATCTGGTTTCAAATCCCTGTGTACAATTCCATAATTATGCAGATATTCCAAGGCCAAGACTGTCTCAGCAAAGTACATCCTGGCCATGTCAACAGGAAGAGGACCCATGTTTTTCATTAAGGTGGCACAGTCTCCCCCTGTAAAACACAGGAGAAAGATTCAGCAGGTACAGTGTCAGCTCGGATTAATGAAGACCATTAAGTTTAGAACACAGAATTTCAGATCAGAGCCATATTCATAAATATATCATATTCTTAAGTGGAGATTATGCTAAGTAGTCAGTCATGTTTCTAATTAAGACATGGATAAAACCTGTTCATAACAGAACAGGTTTGGCTCTGAAGTGAAACTATTTCAAAGAACCAGTGCTAAAGTTCTAGGATGATGGCAACAATTTAAAATATGTCAATATAAAACATGAATCCTGGAATTAGACTGCCTGCGTCTGAATTCTAAAGTCTGAGTTCTGTCTCTTAAAGGCAGAACTCATAGGCAAACAAGTCTTGGTCACCTTAGTTGCTTTGGCTGCGACATCGGAACAGTAATATATCCTCATTCATAGGATTATTCTGAGTATTAATTGAGACAATCCATGTAAACAATTTAGGATATAGTCTACCACATACCAAACGTGATAAATGTTACTTGTTGCTAAAATGACCACCACAATGGTTAGGGGAAAAAAAGTATTGGTGTGGAAAAAGAACAATGGGTGAAAATCAGCGAGCTATGCTTTTGTCTCCTATCTACCACTCAATGTCCTGTAAGCCTTTCTTTCTCAGACTTCAGTTCACTCATCTGCAGAATGAAAAACTTCCAAATCTGTTTTACAGTTTTGGAATTCTGTTCCACAGCTAAAACTGAATGCTTTGAAATGTGTTTTGACCTTTGCTGATCTATTTATTTTATTAACTATATGTCAACAAGTCATGACCACTCAGCTTCAGAAATCAAATACAACAAAGATGAAAATATGATTACTTAGATCAATTTAAAGACCACAAACCACTTTGAAACAAAAAAAGAAAAACTAGGCATGGTGGTATGTACTGAAATCCCAGTACTTAGAAGGATGTGGCAGGAAGATTTCAAGTTTGAGGCCAGCCTGGGCTACATAGGCAGACCCTGTCTACAAAAGAAAAGAAAAACACAAACACAAAACAAAATCCTAAAAATCAGGAAGACTGGCTGGATTTTCACAAATGTTTTTCCTTTCTCCTAATTAATTTTTAATTTCATATGATAGACTGTAAAAGATATATTTTAAATCATTTTTAAAGGAGACCACTTATAATGAACAATTTTTATGATACACGATAAAAATTGGTAGGAAAAATCCTATCACCTATAGTATAACTTTAATGACCAAGTGAGAGGAGGCAGTTATTATTAAAGAAAAACAACCTTTTCCCAAATAGCACTGATTTTCCCTCTGTAATAGGCCCTTTAGCAGCAATTATCTGAAGATAATGACTGGGAATACAACCATCTCATTGCCTGGTCTCAGTTCCTACATGGACATAGCTGTTATATGGCACAAACACAGACAGCTTTAATAAATGAATGAGTGAGGATTTCTGGACACAGGTGCTATGTTCTCTGGGTCTTAGGCTCATTTACCTTCTACATATTCCATGACCATACACAAGTGGCGCCTCGTTTCAAAGGAGCAATACATGCTGACAACAAAGGGGTTTTCTGCAAAAGTCAGGATGTCCCTTTCCACAAAGGCCTGCTGGATCTGGTTCCGAAGGATGAGGTTCTGTTTATTAATCTTCTTCATGGCAAACCTCTGTCGGGATTCTTTATGCCGAACGAAGTAGACTGCCCTGAAAAGGAGCACAAGTATAGGGGTTCATAGGAAGAGAGAAGGTAAGGATGTTTGGGGGATATAGTAAACCATGTGATCATCAAGATTTCTTAAGTTCACGTGGCAGCTGCAACTCAATTCACGCAAGCTATGCTGGCAACTAGAAACATCCTATTCCAGGCAAAAAATCTTTTGAATAAATTGATTTTTAAAAAAATTTTTTCAATAAAGGTCATGCATGAGGCACCGAGTTCATCTTCACTGCTGAAGAAAGGAGACAGATAGTCCCCAGAGTGTTTTCCAAAAGCTAGCTGATGTTTTCAGTTTTTCCACAAACAAAATAAAATTCAATATGTAAGTCAGAACTGGGAAGAATTAACAAAATTACATACAGAGCATGAACTAGATCCTTTCTAGCATTAGACATATGTTAGGTACTCTTTCTTGACTAAAGCAGTAATTTTCTAAATGATACCCTGGGGATGTACAAAAGGACCACAGCTTCTTTTGAGTATCTGATTTCCAATCGAGAGTAATTTACTTCCCATGAAATTTTCAGATAAATGAGAAGTGTGTAAGGGGTTATATGAGACCATTCTGCAACAAGAAGTAGCAAATTTCCTCACTACAGACCCGGCATGTGCTCCCTGTGCCTGTACAGGAAATAGGAAATGCAGTTTCCAGCATAAAAGAGGGTCAACCATGTAGTTGCATTTCTGTTCCCTATGACCGTTGGCCAAGGTGTTAAGCAACTGGGAAATGACCAGACCAGGTCATACTCATTCTCTGTGGAAAGCCTTACCCACATACTTACTAGAACAAAAGGCTAGGAAGAGTCTTGGACTCCCTGAGGTATGGGATGATGAGTACTTAGGAGCAGGAGTCTTAAAACCTCAGTGAGGAATGACAGCCAACAAGGAAATGTCTAGGATGACTCCTTTTCTCAAAAGTCCCTCCTCAATGTTATCATGGTAGATCAGGAAGACAGTGATCAGATAAACCATTCTCTGAAGAGTTGTCAACCTTTTGAATTGTGTAGTAAGTTACCTACTTTACATAAAGCTATCCTGCAATCAAAGGCAATGATCAAATGAGCAATAATTTATCCAAAAAAGTCACCAAGTACAGTAAAATATATCTAGCAGCACACCTGTTGAAACAAGGAGTTAGGTGATCTGAGATGTGTTTGCCACTAGTGCCATCACTGTCACAGAACGATAACTGCCAGGGGTACTTGTGACACCCTGTGCTCTTGCTGATCCAGCATATCAGGGTGATCCACTGACCCAAGTCTCAAGTACATTCAAGCCCAGTTTAATTAATATTAACATCTTTCATTTACTAGGAATTACTTTTTCTTTCAAGTATGTACATTTTTATCTTGTCATTGTAGTCATCTTTTTCCTTTGATAACAATAATCACACATTTGTAATTTTTGTCTCTGTCTAAATATTTCTAGTTTTGGCTTTGTTCTTTTTCTTCCTCTTCATTTCTTTGGTTTTCTAGTTTTTCCTTCACTGCATAATAAGAAGTTCCTTTAACCACACTCACTGAATAATGTGGTGCTGTCACACCCATTGTGAAACAAAACCTTGTAGGAGCCAGCCAGCTGGGCTCCAAGGTTTTCTTTGTGGACCAGTGCCCTCAACCGAACGCCTGAACACTAGGGCTCCCACAGGCTTGGTTAGTCCCACACCTGTTTGTCTGTCTAGACTTGATATCAAAATTAACTAATTTAAATAAATACTTAAACCAATGAAATGTCAGCATGGAGATGAGAAATTCTGTTTATAAGAAAACTAAAGGAATGTTCTAGAAAGTTTCAATAGGTGTAAATTACTGAATAAAATTCCTTTTGATTTAGTGGGGGTGAGATTTCCAAAAGTTGAGTAAAATCATAGAATCCAAGATTCCTACATTTAGATTGTTTTAAGGTATTGCTTCACCTTTAAAGAAGCTAAAATTGGAAAATAAAAACAATATATTAAAAGTGTGGGTTATACTGGCTATCTTAAAAGGCCTTACATCCAGCCAGGCACCAATGGATCATGCCCGTAATCCTAGCTACTTGGGAGGCTGAGATCAGGAGGATCATGGTTTGAGGCCAACCCAGGCAAATAGTTTGTGAGACCCCATCTCCAAGATAACCAGAACGAAATGGTTCAAGTGGTAGAGTGCTTGCTTTGTGAGCACCTGCTTTGCAATCACAATGACCTGAATTCAAACCCCAGTCCTATCAAAGAAGAAAAAGGCCTTACGTGTAAAGACCAGAAGACCAGTAAACATACATATATTTAGGCTAAATTTAAATGTATAAAGTATGTTTTGTAGTAATTTCCTATATAACCAACTTTTTAACTAACTAAGTAGTCCTTTCTGTATCAGATTAAAGGCTTTTATATTTTTCTTTTTCCTATTACTGATGGGATAATATCAGAAATCCATAGATAATTTAAGCTGCTTCTTTTTCAGTTTATAGTGGCAGAATATGAAGGCAGATTACACAAGAATGCAGAAAATAACTTGCCTATCTCTGAAATAAGCCAAGCATTGGTAAAAGGGAATTGTCACTAGAAAGGATTTCTGAAGTAAGGAATCTATTTTTTGAAATAAAATTAAGAACTCAAAATGCTGAAAGGAAGACACAGCAGCTTTCTATAGTGGCTTGCTTGTCCTTAAGAGTCAGTGGGAACACAGCCTCTTTTCCAGTAATTCTTTCAAAAGTTAATATTAAGTTTAGTGCTGAGGGCCTTTAGCCATACTTTCTGAATTTCACATTTAGACTATCATAAGGTTGCCGCTTTAATTTTCAAACAAGTATCACCATTTGTCTCATGAATAACTGTTCTAGAATATTCTTCAGCAACAATAGGAGGTGGAGGAAGAACAGAATTACACAGGATTTTATGAAAGACTGAAAGAGAAAAGATGCCTCAGGCCCAGTTTCACCAGTATCCTCACTCAGTCTCTTCAGGACACAGTATAAAAAATGGCTTCACTCTGTAGTCTCAGATTTTCAGTTTGTAAAAGTTTGATTTGATTTCTTACTCTTCTTTGCTATGATGTACTTAAAATAATCAGTTAATCCATAGGGAAACTGACCTAAAGCAATTGAAATTAATCTTTGTAGGTAGCTTGATAAATCCCTGCCTCGGGACATGGTAGCATATCTCGATCAACTTGCAGAAGTAGACTAGACTTCATAATTAGAATTTGCTGTCACTGGATTTTTGAAGGTTTTGTTGTTATTTGTCTGCATGCTTGCTTTTGTGGTGCTGGGGATCAAAGTCAGGGCTTTGAATAGTCTAGGCAAGTGCCTTATCACTGACCTACTTGCCTTTGTTTTATGTTCTGGTTTTTTACATTTCTTTTGGAGTATTTGTCTTCATGCCAGAACTTCTTTAGTAATAATTGCTTCTCACATATACCTTCCTCCTTTTGTATGAAGTCAGTTGAAAGCAAGAGAGCAAAAAACAAAGACACAGATGAACAGCAGCTGACAGACAGCTAGTACTGTTAAGCAGACTATAAATTCCTCACATCCTAACACTGTACTGGGCTGGCATTTTTTATCCTTTCTGGCCCCAGGAGTTGCTTTTCTGAAAATGGCTGTTTCTGTCTCTTCCTCTACTGACCTTCCTGTGAAACAACAAAACTCAAGGGTGGGAGGTGACACAGGGAGGGGGTGGGGGTGGGGGGACAGACAGGGATGCTTGTTCTCTGTGAGCCAGGGTACCCTCCACCCAGACAGGACTGAGATGTGCAAGGGTGGGGACAAGCGGACTCTGAAGCTGACAGAACAGAAAGCCCAGTGACTCTGGCCTATGGGGCATGTGACTCTCTAATGTGAGTGAGTTATGCACAGGTTTGAGAGCCCAATATATCAGTCTTGGCCAGCAAAGTCCCATGTGGGAGCGAGAGGGCTTGTGTCAGACAAAAGCAGAGAAAAAGGCCTTGGGAGAAGTATGGAGAGGGACACAGCCAGCTTGCAATCAGGTGTCTCTCTGCTCGATGTCTCTGGGCTCTTGAAGAGTGAGAAAATAATGTGCATCGAGGTTGTAAAGAGAAGCAAAGTGGGGGAGAATGCTGTGCCTTTGAGTGAATCTTATTCTTTCTCTTTGAGAACATTTGAGGTCCTCCAACTGCCTATCCCCATGCCTCAGCCTCCCTGGTGCTGGAATGACAGGTGTGCATCACCTGGCCCGGCTGACGTTATAACTTAAAAATCCAAAAAGTGCTCAACAGAAGAACCAGGACCTCCTTACTGCAATTTGGATGGCAAAAAGCTTTAAACAAAAGACACTAGCGAGGAGAGGAGAACACTGTTAGGAATCAGAGGATCTGCGCCCATGTCTCTGAGCCTTCCGTCACACAACATACAAGTGGAAATAATACCAACTACTACTGTGGGCCCTTGTGAGCAGGCAACACAGATGAGGAGACCAGGACAGTGCTGGGCACACCAGCGTCAGCCTTCTACAAAGGGCTAAGTTAGCATAAAGGGATGCTAAACCCTTTATGAAACATGTTAAACAGAGAAGGTAATAAGATGGTTATCGAATTGGCGTCATCACATGGTCACTGAATAGGATGAGAACACGCTGTGTCTTTTATAAGACAGAGAGAAGCCCATCTGAAAGACAGGACTAATTCCCAGCACGACCAATTTTTTGCAAAGCTGCGGAATTCGTGTCTCTCTGAGCCACTGATGTGCAGTGAAACACTGTTACACAGATACCTGTGACAACCTCCAAGAGCCCAGGTCAGCCACCCATGCAGGGGTCCATCTGTTCAGCCAGCCTGCAATTGGCATCCTGGCTACGTGAACTGATGAAGGTAGCTCCATTCAAATTGAAAATTAAAAATAATTAAAATAGAGAGGAAATCTGTCAGAAATGTAATGAGAGATTAAATCTAAGAAGAGCAAGAGAGGGAAAGAGAGAGAGAGAGAGGAGATCTGGCCGATCAGCAGAGGCTCGACAGGCGGCTTGTGAGCTGTTATGACTTGGCCTGCATCCTGGGTGTTGACTGATTCACAGCTTGTTTAACTTCTTGTATATTCCCAACCATTCCCCAAAGTGTGATATACCTCATCTACTATCCAGCGGTTTAACTGTGCTACAAATGAGTTTACTCAACCAATTAGAACTCCAAATACTGCTAAGATCTATGCCCAAGTTTTACAAAAGTGGTGCTTCCCAGATCATCTTATTGCACTGCCAACAGAATTTAGCAATGCTCCAACCCATGTGTCCATGAAATCAACATGCAAACTTCTGCCTAATGACAGAAGAATGCCTCAGGTCATCTCCAAAAGGATGAAGAACTAAAAAGCAAATAGTAATAAAAACCATGAACGACTGTATTATAGAACAATATTCCTAGGTAGAAAACTTTCTATGAGGTCCTAGAAGGACATAAAATATTGCAAAAACATACATTAGAAAGCATTTCTGAATCACATCAGGAAACATGCCATCTGACATAATCCTGAAAACAAATCAGCGAAGCATAGAAAGGACTCACAAATATTTAAGTTCTTCGCTAAATTAATGGTGTGGAAAATATTAGAGGTGAAAAAATAGCAAGGAGAAATATCCCTTGTGGCCCAACAAAAATCGCTTTACCTCATCTGCTCATCTGTGTTATAAATGGCAATAAATGTCTCTGGGATTATTTATTGCTCTCTAGTTACAGATGGAATTGGGATTAATACTTAATTAAGCCAGAATTCTTGGGCTGTCTAAAATGGATCAAGTCATGGCTTGTGCATTAATTGCCCTCCCTAACTATTTATTAGTAACTCAGAAGAATCTTGTCACCATTTATGCTACACCCTGAGAAGGAAACTGTGTGTCTCTAAAAATGAATCAAGCAAGAAGAAGAGAGGAATTCAAAGATTTCCAATACAAAGTAATGATAAACGTTTAAGGGGAAGGAAATGCTAAGTACTCCAGTGTGAATGGAAGAATCACAATGAATTCCATAAATATGTACAAATTATGCCAGTAAAAATACTGAAAAAGTAAAACATATTTTACATATTATGAAAGGCTATTATAATAAAGGGGAAAGAAAGTAGCAGCAATTTAGTGCCTGGTAGGAGTCTAAAATGTATTATTAGAATGTATATGTGTGAATCTAGAAATTAAATCTCTTCCTTAAAGAAAAAAATGGGTCAAGGAAGGAGTACCACTAATGTGATCAGATTATAGGATTAGGTTCAATTTCATTAATTCTGGTGTAATATAAGGACTAACAGAATATATTGTTTTAAATTTTCAAACAGACTTATTTAAATACTTTTCTCACAAGGCAGACTACAGGAAATACAAGTAGCAATGCTACACACAGAATTATATATGTGTGTATATGGTTTTATAGAATATATACTGATAAGTATATAGCTCTACCAAGAGTCAGATAATTCCAAACCCAAAAGGGCAGAACAAAGGAATACAATAGGAATACATGAAAAATTTCCCTTACTTTATAAAATCTTTCTTTCCAACCCTGTAAAACAACCCCTAGGTCACTTGATACATTTTCTGTTGGGTATTCAGTAAGAAATGATTGTGACTGTATATCAGACCCATTGAGCAGTGAGCTACAAAGCCAAGTCCCTACATCTATCTGGCATAAGGTGAATGTGAAGAATAACCATATTACTCACTGTGTTAACATATAACAGGGAGCTTTTCTTGAACTACTCACCCATAGGCTCCATTGCTAATCAATTTAATCGTTTCAAAATCACTTTCTCGAGGTTTTCTTCGAAGTTTCAGGGAAGCATTAGAGCTCTTGGGAACAAAGTAAGAAAGTGAAAAACAGTTTAGAATTTGAGAAAATTACTTTAATGACAAAGTAGATAATACCTGAATTAATGCTATCTCATTTAATATGCTGAGGTGCAATATTCTAGCTAAAGAAACCTGAGGTCAGCTCTGCTGACCGATCTGCCACAGCAGATTAAACAGCTAAACAAATGCTCCTGTGACATCTTGGCTACATTTAAGCAAACCCACATTCCAAGAGATAAAAGCAGGAAACTTTTTGAAAATTCCATTTTAGTTTCCCTTTCTAAACTACTCAAGTTAGTCTTATCCTAGTCTTAGTACTTTAAGATTTAAATCCAAAAATGCCAAACCTCTCCTTTGGTTTCATTTAGCCAGAAATGAATGGGCTAGCATGACTGTCACTGGGGCTGAGGGAAGATGTGGCTTGTCTATCTCTGACCAGGGAATGTCTACTGCATACTGTGGCAATCTTTCTTATTTAGAAAAGGTCATAGGTGACAAGTCTACTGCCTTTCTTTACCTCAAAACCAGAAATCTTACTATGATTTAAATACTAAAGTTTTAAATGACAGCTTTCTAAAAAGTTTAGCTTAAAGGTCAGGAATAAACTCAGTGCTGTTAAAAATAAAAAGTCTCTCATGTCACCTTTATCACAGTAGTGACAGGATGCAAATAGTCTCTGTTTCTCTATAAAGTCCAGAATTCCCTTCCATGATTTAGGAAGAACCCATGATTCTGAGGGGTGCACCACCCACTTCCCTCAGGGCTGCCATTGCAGGCTTCATCCAGCAGCAGGGACCTATGTGTCCAGTTTTTCCCCAAGCTATCCAGTCTCTATGGTTTGCCTTGCTTTTAGCCCTCAGATGTATCTTCCGTCTGGAATGTTCCTCATCCCTTCCCACACTAATAGTTTTGCACAGTTTAACTCAAGTGCCATGTTCTTAGAAAATTTTAGGAATGGCCAGACCAGCGCAAATCTCTTTATGGCATATTCCACTAGTGTATTGTCTTTTTTCTTCATAGATTTTATTTTCTTTCATTGCTACTATTTTTGACATATGATTTGTTTTTGCAGACTTTTGCTTCTCTTAGAAGGGGGCGCTAAAATTTATGCATAGTGCCTTGCACACAGAAGAAACACAATAAATATTTGTTGAATAAAGTAATTAACATAGTCAAAATCTTCCGATGCTAATAAACAGAAAAACCAACATCATATTTCATCAAGAAAGATACTCACACTCACTGACTCATCCGTTTCTGGTGTTTCTGCAGTCCCACTGTCATAGTTCCCCAACTGAGCCATTTCTAAGTTAAAAAAAAAAAAAGTAAGTACAGTTTAAGAAAAAAATGCAATTGAACAAAAGAACTAAGCTAAAACAAAATAAAAATAAGTTCCCCATTATTAAAACAAAAAGAAAAGTTCATTCTATGTTCCACTGTGCCCATGGGAAAAATGCTACATCCAAACAGGCAAGCTACTTTGAACTCATAAACAATGTTGCCTTCCCTGGAACTCCATTCCTTATGAACACCCAGATAGACGGACTTTGGGGACTAGGCCACCACTTCAGCGAGAAGCATTTACTGGCAAATGCAATTACAGCTTGTCCAGGTTTGCATGGGTGAACAGCGCTGCATATAATTAGATATCTAAGAGAGGAGAGTCTTCTGGGATGTGACAGACAGTAAACACGCACTGGCTACGACTTAGCTAGTCTCAAGTGAACCTGGGCATGGCTGGTTCCATGCCTTAGCACCCACCAGGAGCGATCCCTTAAGGCATGCAGGATCTGTGACGTATCAGAGGCAATAATGGTGGTGGTTAAGAGGCGGTTGAAGATGGGAAGACTTGGTTACCATCACTACCAGCACTTACTACCTGAGTGACCTTTTAACTTCAGACTTCCTGTGTAAAATGGGAACAATGTTATTTATCCCTTAGAGGTTTTTATGAGTACTATAATATAACACATTAAAGCTCCTAGCATGTTCACTAACAAAAATTAAGAGTTCATTAGATGCTGATTGTTATTTATTAATTAATTCTATTGTATAAAGTAGTCAATTCTGGGCTGGATGCCCTGGTGGTCTAGTTAAAAGTGACAAAGGCATCTAATTGCTCAGCCCACATTGGAATGCATCCTTGAGTTTATGTAAGTAAATGAGAAAGCCTAATGCATTTACTGCAAATTTTCATATTCTTTTGAAAAGTATTTTTTTAAAGAAAAAAATTCTCCAAAGGCATTTTTCCATTTTTTTTTTTTTTTAATTTTTGGTGGTAATGGACTTTGAACTCAGGGCCTTATGCTTGCGAGGTAGGCGCTCTACCTCTTGAGCCCTTCTACCAGCCCACATTTTCTGATTTTTAAAAGCTGAACATGTATAACAAAAAGTTACAGTTTTAGCTATATATTTTATATGAATCTAAAATTGTTTCTTAGGTTTTTATTTCATGTGTTCATGTTCTTAAACATATGTGATTAATCTTAAGAAAGATAAAGCAAAACAACACTGGAGTGTTACTTTTAGGTAAAAAATTATAAACTCTAGATTCTGAACTAACTGGAGATTGACACTAATGTTTCCAGTTTACAAAAGGGAAAATTCCAGAATAAAAATGAACTTAGTGCAAACTCTATACTTTCTTGGAGTGATTCAAATGATGCCAATATCCAGTGTAACTGTACAAACTCTGAGACAAACAAAAATATATTTGGTTTGAGGGACTCACAAGGAAAGAAACAAAATTTAATATTGTTTAAAACAGCAATAGCAGCTTATATTTATTAAGCAGTTACCTTGCTATACAATTGCACAGATGAAGTCATACAATCTTCAAAACAACTACAAATGGGTGCTATTGTTATCACAAAGTTTACTTTATGGAAAGCGCTGAGACATAAAGAGGCTTGTGAACTGCATGGTCAAGGTCACATCCCAACTCCAGGACTCACTCGTAGTCCTCAAAAGACTGGTTTTATGTATGTTCGTTTGGATGTAAACAACACAGGGAAGCAAACAAACATCAGAATTTGCCATCATTTGTTAAATTACTGGCAGAAGTTATGTTTCAAAGGTTAATAGATGGACTAAAAACTATCCTCAGACTGAATCAAGGAAATTAACTATCAAGAGTTAAAAATACAACTCCTAGTGATTTATTTATATTATTAAACTCAAAACATGTCAAAGGCCATTACTAATTTTTTCAAGGTATGTAAATGAGCCTTAGATTGTTCACATACCAGAGTCCAGCCTACAGTGACATTTACTGCCAGGTAAGAAAACTACGGAAAGCTCACTGTCTGCAACTCAAGGGCTGACACAGCCTTAACTCTACCAGCGTGAAGAGTCACTCTAATATGCTTTGACAGCCTCCCCACTCCAATTATTCTCATAAAAAAACAAATTAAAAGATGGTTCTGTTTTAAATAGAATTTTTGCTAAATAACTATTATCTGAGAAATACATATTATTTATAAGCAGTAGGTAGTAATGGAATGGAACCAAGAGTCAGCTTTTGAAGCAGGGAGCTAAGGCATCATTTTGTAATGCCTGAAGAGATTTTTTAAAACTCATCTAAATACCATTAAACATCTGCCCTTTTTATTTCATTGATTTAAACCATTTCTGAAGACTCGTGATTCAAAAAGGTAAAGATGGTAATTTAAAAGCCATGGGGGGAAATTTCTCTCCAGGGAACTTTTCAGAAAAGCAGCCACCAGTCTCTGATAAGTGATGAATCTGTTGTGGTATTGCTTTCAGTACAGTATAAATTTATCTGGCATTATCTCCCAGTAATGCATGCATCATTTCACTGGAAGCAAAGATACGATGGCCACAAGAGCAAACAAAGCAGGAAGAAAAGGGAGAGCAGGGCCGAGAGCAGCAAGCTCCTGGCTTTAGACAGGAAAGATCACCATGCCAGTGTGTACCTCCATCACAAGCAATTGAGCAGGATAAACGCTATTTCCAAATTCAATTTAATGAACCAGGAAGACAGAATGAGGGAGTCAGTGATCGTTTATGAATCTTTTAAGGCAGTATAAACCTAAGATTTATAAATAATCTCAAACAATAATGAACAGAAAAGGTTGGGCCATTACAATGTTAGATCTTTAAAAATCATTAACATGGTGTTTCCTACTCTCTGTGTTTAACAGAATTATACCTTTCTCAAAAAAAAAATATGAGCCTGGAGGAGTGGCTCAAGTGGTAGAGTGCCTGTTTAGCAAGGCCCTAGTGCCACCAAAGGGAAAAAAAAAATGACACATCTGCATCAAGTAGGCAAAAAAATATAACATATCCTTTTAGAAGCTTTAAAATAAACACTCCTTTATCATTATCTCCCTGGTATGCTACTATGTTTCATACCTTCTTGAGTCATATAGACAAAAATATACATACTGGTGTTGCACTCAAATTTAAAGTAATCTACCATTAGTTGCATTATTCTGATATTAAATTTAAATGTCAATTTTAAATGAATGTTAATTAACGCCTTTAGTGACTTACAAAATTAAAGTACTTTCAAGAACAGTCAATCTGAGCTTGCAAAAGCACAAGTACTCAAGAAGACCAAATTCCAAACCCTCTGGGGCAATGTGGCACTCTCTGGCTGACAGGCTCTAAGATACCAAGACTGGCCCCCTCTAGCAAACACACACTGGGGCAGGCTCATTTGCTCCTCAGGACTCAACCCATGGCTATTTCCTTCACATCACAACTGATCCCCAAGAAGGGGCTTTTCAACAGAGACAGCAAAACAGAAAAAATAAAGAGGTGTCGCTAAGTTCTTCTAGAGGTCACAGGGTAGGCGCAAGTAGCTGGTCAACCCAGCCAACACTTACCTTCCAAAGGGTCCTTATTCAGCCCCAGCTGGCTGATGATGTACCTGGGGATGTCAGTTTTGATACCCTGTCCTTCTTTGGCATGGCCTTCTGCAGCTTCCAATAGGTAGTAAAATTCTTCAGGATCAAATTCCTGGCAGAAGACAACACATATAGATAGATAATTCTTTGAGCCAAAATGGTCTGAGGTTTTATTACATAAATCCTGTTCATAATGAAACTGCAGGACATATGTGGTTGTAGGTTATTTATGCAGAAACAAGGCAAATGGCCTTAAAAAGTATGCAGTTCTCACTTCCTATCTGAAGACTATTCATCTTCTAAGCCAATATGTTCTTTCAATGGTAACCTAACAATAATGATCATCTCCAATTTCTTTGTAACAGAACTTGGAAGCAGCTATGCTCTCCCTGAAAAAAACCCACTTGACTGGTTTTTGTTTGGTTGTATTTTGAATCAGGGTCTCGCTGTGTTGCCCAGGTTAGCCTCAAACTCCTGGGCTCAAGTGATCTTCCTACCTCAGCCTCCTGAGTAGCTGGAACTGATAAGTGTGTACCACCAGGTCCTCTACATCTCATTTTTTTGGGTGGTGCTGGAGATGGAACCTAAGGCTTTAGCTCTAATTTTTATTTGTGCTTTTAAAGCAAAGTTTTAAAATCTAAGAATTTCATCTATTTTTAAAAACCCATTTAAAAAACTCCAGATTGCATTAGTAGTATTTATATAATGCAATAGTTAAGAAAGAAAAATGGCTTCCAGTTACCCTGTCCTCTGTAATACTTTGGTAATACATTTTTCCTATGTATTTTATTTTCTTTGGTCAACTGTTGCTTATAGTATGTACGTAATGAAAAATTTCAGACTTTGGAATCTCTCCTAATAATTACTTGAGAGTTTCTAAGGGCCACATGAAAAGCTTACTGCAAATGAAGTAGTATCAAGCCAGAGTAATCACTCAAGGTCCTTTATAGACACCTGCAGTGGCTGACGGGCAAACCTGAGAACTGCAGGCAGAAGATGGTAGGTTGGGGAAAAGCCCCCTAATAACTTGGAAACTCCTAGTTTCATCTGAGCTCTAAACTGTACTGAAACCAACAGCATTTCCAAAGGTACTTCTGAGCCCACTTGTTTCTATCTTTAAGAGGCATTATTTTTACTTTTTCTCTTCTGGTTAGGAGTGATTACTGTAAAAAATTAATTTTCTCTCTTAAGGCAAGATCTACTCTCTATCTGCTATTGTACAGAAAAAAAAAAACAAGTTTTAATGCTAAATGGCACTTTCCCCCAAATTAAACTACTGCACGTGGAACATAATTCAAAAACTACAACAGGAGAAGCCATATAAACTACTGCACTCATCAGTTGTCCTGTTCTCACAATGGCTTTCACAATAGTTTTTCCCTGTCCCCTTCCAGAGACTCCTGATGCCAAATGGTGTTTTTGATTCTGTGATCCTAAGGCTCCTGTGCTCATGGAAATCCCGTTTTGCCCATCTTTTCCTAAAGATCTCCTGCTAATGTCTCTCATCAGGCACAGGTATAAATTTACGGGGCTATGAATATTCCAATACTGTAAAATATTTTGAATGTTAATTAAAAGAACAATAAAACCAAAGTACCACAGTCACACACAAATTGTGTGTGATGCTGAGAACTGCATTACACATGCAGTTAAGTTACTTTAGGAGCCAGTAAAACTTAAAAGTGAATTTTCATGCTATCCTAAGAGCTCCTTAAAGTAATTCCTAGTTGAAAGTTTCATAATTTGCTTACAGTTTTGATTGAAATCACAATCAAAATTTCATAAAACAAAAATTTTAAAACAGGAAGATGATCACTGGTCAAAAATTGCTAAAATGAAGTGCTCTCCTTCACTTCTGAATTCTTCCAAATAGGTTGCCCACTAGAAATTATTTCTAAACTGGCACATTTAAAAAACAAATAATAATTATAACCATGGGTCACTATTTAGTATATCCCTGATTTCCCGCTCTCTGAATCTCAGCAACTGAAAAACACAAGGCACGGCAAGCATTTTAAATTAGCTGTGACATAAAGTAATTATGTAGAAATAAGGTCAAACACATTACCTCATGATTATCCTTCAAGTTTGACTAGAATGTGATATGACTACCACTTACCACAACACCCACGCTAGAATTCTTTTAAAATCAGAGAGGACAAGTCACATATGGATGCCATCATACACATTCACAAGTGGAGTTCCTCCTGACTCTTTCTGTTTAGCACTGGTGGTTGAAGTTAAATGAAACTGGAGCATTCTGAAGGTTGCCACTTTCCCACAGTTAACAATAAATAATGTAGCCACATCTAAAGGCAACTTACCAGGCACTCCAATAACCGAGCTGGGCGGGCAATAACAATTAGGATCTTGCGGACTAGCTGTTTAATAAAAGCCAATTCTCCACTTTCAGAGCGATCATGGGCCTATGAAAAAGCAATGAACAGAATGATAATGCAGAGTTGCTCCATTAAATGGAAGAGAAAATCAGCAAAGCATGCTAATTAGATAATTGCAAATTCTCAAAACTTAAGTGATTTAGAAAGTGCTCTTAAAAGACTGATAACTGGGCATTATTGCTACATAAATGGACATATTAAACTTCTATATCTACAAGATAGCTCTATTAGCTAAACTTTAATTGCAAATTTTTGATTTATTATCTGTGCTAAAAATCAACTGTCAGAGCTCTTAACATGAACCAGGAATGAGGGAGACGTTAAAAGTTTATGGCACATTAAGTTCTTGGTACCAGGAGAGACAGCTGGTCAAGAACCTGGGTTCTCCAGATGTGGCATCTCAGATGTGTGAAACAGCTAACATAACAATGGACTGCTTTAATTATCCTGGACATTTAACATGTTCGTGAAATATAGTTCACATATATGCAATCTAATTAGTCCACAAGTTAGTTTGGTACATGTGAGAAGTGCACAATGCTTATTTCAAATGTTAGCCAAATAATGTTTATAATTAGACATATAAATTCAATCTCGCCCACTGAGTAAATAACTTTGCACTCAACTCAATAAAATTTAACTATTTTCAAATCTTTTAAAATTTTATTTTGCATGTTGCCTACGCAACAATATATATTCTGAGAGTAAAACTCAGTTAATAGTCACTGAAGTTTTCAGTGCTATTTTCTTGAAGACATCCAGTATATCTGTATGAAGGCTGGCACAGGACAAAAGTTTTGGAAGTTTTAATGTGAACTTCTGTACGTGCTCCTTCTAGGTCTTCATAATTTTTAAGTTTTATGATTTACTTTGCTCTAAGGATTAAAAAAGTATCAAGGTGCTGCTGGTACAATATATGATTTCATAGCCACAGCAGTAAATAATTACAATCATTCTTCATCAATGACCCACAAAAGAGCTGGCAGATAAAATGCATGAAAATGTGACTGCAATATGTATATTGAATCATTGAATTAAACCACCAAATCAAAGTTGATGTTCTAAAACATAAGCACAGAAATTATGACAGGTAAAAGCAAACCAGCCCACACTCAAATTTAAAAAATAAGGAAAATGACAATCGGTGAATACTTATAGAATAGAATGTGCTATACACACACACACACATATGCTCACCCCTCAAATATTCAAAGTTTTAAAATTTTATTTCCAATGTTCATTTTGCAACAAAAACTAATGCTAAGAAATATGGTTATATATCTTCTTTATAGTTTAACTAAACAAAAAACCTTAAAAAAAAAAAACCTAACCTCTCCTAACTTCTTGGTGACAATTTCGGCTAGACACTGAAGTTTTTTCTTGCTATCATAATTATAATTTTATAAATTCAAGCACAAAGAAAAATATCTAAGAACTTGAGCACATTTTGGTGGCCTTTTTAAAGAAAAATAACAGTTTCATATGTGGAAAAACTTAAAAATAGTCAATTTAGGTTACATAGATCCCATTTTTAAAAGCATAAAAACAGAAAGTTCATTCCAACTTCTTAGTTTTAATAATTATCAGCCATATCCAAGGCTAAAACACAGGAATTGCACTAGCTGAAATAATGTCTCATCTACTAACCTTAAGGGTAGGAGGACAGGGAAGAAATTTGTTAAAACTACATTTGACAAAATGACACAAATAGCCTGGGAAGAGAAATTCTTGGTTCCTGGCTGTTACCAGCAAGCTCCAAAAGGGTACACTAGTGGATACCCTGGGTTTGTATTTTAAGTGTTGGTCACTATTAAAAAAAAGAATACTGTCACCCAGATTTGAGGGTAGGTTAGAGCATCCTATGTATTTCAATTTCCTTTGTCTAAAGGTGCCACAGTGAAAAAGAACTGGAGAGACAGGAAAGCATTCATGGAGAATTAACCTAGGACCTCAGGATGTTAAAAGGCCTCAGTCAAATTAAGCTGATCAAACCCCACAAGGGAACCTTGCCTTGGGTTTGCAAAAGACTGTAAATGGAAACTTGGTGGGAAGACAGGCTTGCTGGATACAGAACTTCACAGCTAAGAACGGACAGCTGCACCTAGGGGATGCCAAAGACAATTCCCACAATTTGGCTCTGTCTGAAAGGGTATGTCCCCTGTAACAGATTAGCTCCAGGCTCTGGAGGGAGACTATAAATGTGACTCTGAAGATAGGTTTGATTTTTACACAAGGACTGAAGGAAGCTATATATCTGTGGAGATGAACAAGACAACATTCTTATTCATACCCAACAATGACCTTTAGGCTATAATATACATGTTTCTCTGACCCCGTGAGCAATTTCTTTAAAAATCAACAGTTTTATCACATGGCCCGCTCCCATGATCTTTGCAACTCTAAGATTGATTTTTAATTGCCATGAAACAATCTGGCAAGTCTGTCATACATAACAAAAGTAAGTAGGGGATTTCAATATAATAAGCTTTGCATACCAATTCTACCTGTTTCAGGGAATACCTATGAAGGAATGAAAAACAGAAATAATCTGGTGATGATGATAATGTACTGGAACGGAACTGTGGAATTCAGGAAGGAATATCTCACAGAGGCTCACTACAGAGTTCCTCTCCTCTCTAGTTACCTCTTCTGTTCAAAACCGTACCATTTCACAAATACCATTTTCAAGGTATTCTCATACACAGTAATAAGCATGGTATTTCCAGCATGTTCTGGAAGATGATTTGATTAAAAAGAATAGAAGATTAGATTTAAGATGCTATACAATAACTCATCAAGTACTTTGGCATGCTTCCCTGTGCATTTTCTTCCTTCCTCCCTTCTACAGTCACCAAGGAATCAATAATCAGCACAAAGCTAGATACTAGGGAATTAGAGATGACCCTTTGTCTTCAAAGAGCCCAATGTCTGCTGGTAAAGTGATGTCCCCTCCCAATCCCCACCTCTGAAAGACTGTTATACTACACTGTGGCTAAATGCACTGAGAGGGGTACACAGCCATTGGCCACGCTATGGTGTTTTACCTTAGAATGGAACACTGAAGTGGGGCTGCATAGAAGTATAAATTTGAGGGGTCTATGACTGGAGGGAAGCAGATTAAAAAGAATAAGGGTCTAAGCTAGGCAGTGGTTATAGAACAGGAAGGAAAAGTTGGAGAAGATTCAGGAAGAAAACTGCGAGGTTGGTGGTGGCTTAATATAGAGGAAGAAAGAGCATAGTAGGACTTAGGAGTCCCAGCAGGTGCTTGGAAGATGGTGGTGCAAAGTATGCCTGAGACACAGGTTTGCCTGAGGACATGCTAAGTCTAGTTGAGAAGGGCCGGTGTTGCCCACTGGCACTTCAGTGGGCTAAGTGGAAAGATGTTCAATAGGCAAACAGACAGCTAAATGTGAAATCTTGAGAGAACACTGCTTCTCTGAGATATGAACTGGAATCTGCTAGAATCCACAGATCTTTAATGTAGACAGTTAACAGGATCATCAAGAGAGAGAAGCAGTGTAACAAGGATGAGATTGTAGGAAAACTAACTTGGGGAAAACAGGAGTTGGGAGAAAAACCCTAGGAAAAGGCAGGAAAGAAAAGGACAGAGAGGTACCAAGTGAAATATATTAAAGGAGTGAAGAAGGGGCAGAGTTTGGGCATTATAGTAAAATAGGTCTGTTCCAGTAACATGGCCAGTGGATATGACAGTAAGAAGGACATACTGAATTTCGTTTTATGAGTGGCTTTTGATTCCACTCACAAAGCATAGGTTTTATGTAGCCACTCATAAAACAAATATTTAGGTTCCTAAATGTTTGTCCACCATTCTATGTGAACAAGGCAGATAAGATCCTTGTTCTCAGAGTTTTAATATTCTAGTATGGACTGGTGGCAGTCCATGTTCTGTTATTAGAGTGTGCTGAGATAATACAACCATTGAGAGTAACCATTCAGCAACTCTCAGTAAGTGTACATGGTTAGGATACCCAAGTACATACTCATTTTCTTTGTAAACTCATTTTCATTTTAGTTTACTGGAGAATTGTTCCATGCCAAGATGAAATAAACAGTAACGAGGACCAAAACCAGTGTATTTGCCCCTAAAGACAGACTGAGAGGCACTATTTTGATAGACTTCAGTAAGTTGAAATGTGAGAAATGGAAACAGCAGAGAAAACTCTGTCAGGAAGTTTGGATAAGACAGGTAAGAATAAGTGGCTATAGCAGCCAGACAAGATAAGAAAATTCTTACCTTGCCAGAAGTAAATTCAGCAGGGGGGCAAGGACAGGTAGATTTCTCAAAAATTAGGAGGCTAGTATTTTCCTTCAGTTCTATGCAAGTATTTACATATTCATTCTTAGAAAAAAAACCACCTATGATTATTTGCACATAGGAATAATTTATACCCCATAAGATACAGAAATACTATAAATCCAAATACATAGGCTAAATAGGTTTCCCTTGGAGGCTGTGGCTGATCAATTTCAGTCAGAAGAGCAGTATCATGTGTTAATTCCATCCCACCACACACACCCCCTCCTGTTAGCAGGAGCTAAGCATGCAAGTATTAGGCAGAGACAGGTCCTGTGTTTATCTGCCATTTTGGAAATTGGATATGTTGTTAAAGGAAGAACTGACACTAATGAAAATATAGGTTGCCATTTAACACCCGGCAACACATGCAGGTTAATTAATAGGACACACAGCCTGGAAGAAGCTAGCAATTTTCCATTTAGCTTTTGCACATATTAGAACTAGATAGAACCATCAAATAACACACACACACTCAGGCAATTTATAGCTTTATGGGTAATGGAAAGGAAGAATCACTGCTTCAAAATCCTTCACAATCCACTTATCCTAGAGTCATAGACTGTTGGGCCCCCAGGTTATTATCTTAACTTCCTCTTACTCTACATAATGACCAGAATTAACTTATGGCAAGCAGCAATCAGTTGGGTTCTTTCTTTCTTCTTTGCTTCCCTGGAATGTGAACTTAATCTCATAGTTACCACTTGTAAGCAAATGGTCTCATAAAACAGTCTTTTTTCAACAGAAATGCAAAAAAAATCAGAAAACTTTATATGCATGGCACATGGTTCTTACCTCCTGTAGCAATTTATCTAATTTGTGCTGCAATTCAAGAAAGTATCTCGAGGTGATGAGACCCTGGTGGGATTTATCCAAACAATCTCGAGCCAGTTCAATAATCTGATGGTGAGTGAAACTAAGCACTCCATCTGCTAGGGGAAGGACATTGTCAGGGGAGTAGCTGGTAATAATTTCCTTAAGACGCTCTTCCATCTGAGCTGTAGCCTGTTTGGAGAACACACACACATACACACACAGGTGTAAAATAAGGAGACACAAACATGAACAATTCAACCATTACCTTTCCCTAGCCATTTTCACAGACATCCACAAGTTGTTAAACAGAGTTCTGAAAATTAAAGTTAAAAGAAATCTCATTTCTGGGCTGTGGATCAGTGATAAAGTACTTGCCTGGCACATTCAAGGCCCTGGGTTTGGTCCCCAGCATCACAAAACAAAACAAACCACTTCTGTGTGATACAGCATAGAAGTGCGCACATGTCATTACACATTTGTCCAAGTTTATCGATTGTACAGACCCAAGAGTGAGTCCTAACGTACATATGGACTGTGGATGATAATGATGTGTTCATGAGAGTTCACTGACCGCACTCTGGCGGAGGATGTCAATATAGGGGGAGACTGCATGTGTGGGACGGGGGTATACGGAAAACCTGTCCACTTAATTTTGCTATGAAGCTAAAACTACTCAAAAAAATAATGAGAAGAAGAGGAGGGAGAGGACACAAATACTTCATCATGTGATATAAAAATAACAGAGAGTAAAGATTTTTCACTGAAAATGAGTATTTCAGTATGCTAACCCTCTTCCAATGTCCCATCAAATGTAAGATGGTCCATGTCAGCTTTCTGAAATAGCTTCAAAAATACCTGTGAATGGTTATGCCTTCTTGTTAGTTCCTGGGTTCTTTCGGATGGGTTGTCAAAAATATCAAATATTTCTCTAGTTGTTAGTTACTCAAAACTCAGTATAACTGCTATAGTTCCTCAGTGTGAGCCATGAGTGTGTTCTTGTCTAGGTTTCAATGTACCAGGAACAAGCATTATCCTTCCTTCGAAAAGCCACGTGAGTGCAAAGGCCAAGGGGATTCCCCTGGAAAATAAAGTTTAAATTTCCTTTCCGTCTCTGATCACCTGCTGCCTAATCAACATTCCTGGCTTCCATGAATTATATATGGAAGATTCCTTCTTCCCCTCTAAAGTCTAAACCCGCTTAACTACATGTGTTTAGTACCTGTTTCCCTGGAGAGCAGGTGACGTGATAAATAGCCAAAAGTTTTAATCAATGACATCAATGTTGGGTTCATTACAAATAATAAGTCCTCTACTCCTGATTTATGAAACCAATGATTTCCCTTTGTTCGTGTGCCTAGGGCCATAAAGGCAGTGGGTGGGAATCGGGGATGACAAAGTGAGGTAGTAGCTTTTTACCAAACATGTAGAAATACTTTGCTGGGAAAAATGTGGGACCCGGGCAAGGTGATGGAGGTCACTGGATTTGGAAACAAATTGTTTGGCTCAATTCATTCATTCTACCAGGCTAAGTGGGGAACATTGCACCTGTACGTTCCCTTTTACAGCAGTAGGATTACAAATGTGATGACTGAAAAGATGGGAACAAGGGAGGTGAGGTTCAAAAAGAAAAACAGCAACTTTCATGACACAGTAATCTATGGCTTCTGAGAAAGGAAAAAAATGAAATGCACTTGAGAATTCTACAACAGGTCCAGAACATGGGCACAAGAGAGAGAAAGACTGCAGAGCCTTGGAGAGCAGACCCTTCCTACCCACCCCGCCCCCAGGCCTGCCCATTGCACGGTGCATACCAGCAGTATTTGCTTTAAAGTCAGCTCAACACAGAGTGGTGTTTTTAGCAGCTGGTACTTTCACATCTGTTTAGTTATTTTTTCTTTCTGCGAAGGCTACAATGTGGTTTAACACAAGTCACTATTGGATTGGACCTTTACTTCCTATAACAAAATCACCTTACAGAGGCTAAACCTATGTTGCCTGTTCATTTAGATGCTAGGCACCTTAAATTCAATTCATTACCTTTGGGAACCTTTCTTTGTAGACATGGTTCATCATAATTATTTCATGGTCACAGCAGGCGGGGGAACGTCCAGGGCTGCAAGCAAAGCAAATTACCCTTTTAAACTTGCCACAGCATGAAATGAAAATAAGCTTTTTATTTATAAAAAGCCAGTTACGTCAAAAGAACTATGCAACCTTCATATGAAAAGTATGCCGTGTTAGGCAATGAACTACAAAATCAGTTCATTAGCACACATGTACACATACATACCTGCAAACAGAGGCACTCTCAATAGGATTCACAAAGCAAGCTCAAGAAATAAAATGCTAAAAAAAAGAATTATAGTCACACTACTAGTTCAGAAAATGTTCTCAAATTGAAATTATATTCTGCATGTAAGATAAGCCTGTGTAAGTTGTGGAAACCAATTAATGAATTGCAGTACAAAACAAAACAGGGTGACTACAAACAGCAACCTCTAGGACATGTTTAACTGTAATTTCACACTTTTATCCTACACCTGCGCTCTGCCACATAGCATGGAAAGGGCAGAGAGTCTTCCCTGGCACTGTGTCATAGTAAAATCCATTTTCTAGTCTAGCAAATATTTATTAGGGATGCTGAGGTAGGCATTAGGCACTATATACAGTAAGAAACAGAGGCATACCAAGTGACAGAAAACTAATATTATCAAGTACTATCTGCAGTGTGCCAAGCACTAAAAGGAATTCCTAAATTTATTTAACATCCATCAATGACCCACATGAGGAGGATTTGGACAGACGTGGACCTAACCAAAGGAAGAGAATCAAAAGATCAACATTGACTGCTTTAAAATTTTGGCTTATTTTATTGCTTTAAGTGTGTTTGTCTGTCTTCCTTTCTACTATCCAATTTTCAGACACTTTGGTGAGGCAGAATAAAATGAGATGCTTTTCTAAATATTCCTATACATTCTACTTCTTTAATTATACTTAAGTAGAGATGCCCACAAGCAGAGGAAATCAAGATGACACATCTTTTCAATTGCCTAGCTAGTTCTACTCACTGTCGTCACATTGACAAACATTGTCATCATCAAATGATAGACATTTGGAGCATAGAACAGTTTTGTTAAATGGCTTCAAAACTGTCTTATAAAAATGCAACCACTAGTAGTTTCCCAATTCTCAAATGTATAAAAAAAAAAAAAGGAAGAAACAGAGGCTTCAAAAGTCAGCCGGTGTTCTTCCTGGTAGGATACAGTGGTATAACTTTAGGATATTTATATCCTGAGGGAATACAACTTATTTTAGCTACCCCAGGAACTTCTTTAAGAAAACAAAAAAATGGCACCCATATGGTAAACCACAATGCCCCTGGGGGGAAAAAAAAAAGATCGGTGTCTTTTCTTCTGCATCTCACAATTTTAACATATCCCACCATTATCCAAGGTGGCCATATTCACTATTAGTTTATGAAACAGAATGAAGACAGCTACAAAGGGAAAAACCTTTGAGAGGTCAAGAGGAGCTGAGGCCACAAGGCCTGTTGTGCAGCTGGACTCTCCCACTGCCCAGTCCTGCTTCCTCCCTTCCCTTCCACAGGTGTTGATCCCCAAAGCACTGCCTAACAAACACCCTGAACAGGTACCTCTATTTTAGAATCTGCTTCCTAAAGAAGCAGCCTGTGATACACACTATTTGACACAAAGTCAAAATGCAACCAGCTCAACCCAATGTCAAGAAGACTAAATTTGACAACCACAAAATTCAGGAGATGCGAACTTCTGAAGCCGTGTTCATAACCCAGGAGAAAGTAAGACTTATCATGGCTGGAAAGAATAAAAAAGTCAGGGTGAGCTTTTATAACAGGAAGTCAGGGGAAATACTCTCCTATTTTTCCACCAAGCTTCTCCCTCTTCACATAATAATAACTGCTCTCATACCATGATCAGATGGCATAGGAATTTCCAATACGTAGAAGTTTTTACAGGTAGCTCCCTAAGGCCGTCATGATTACTGCTATTGTGGCAATTAGCAAAGTGTGAAAATTTAAAAGAAATAATACAATGCCTTTCAATGGTAATTAACAATGCCACCTATAGATGGAAAAAAATTACGCTATATCTATGGCAGCTCATAAATCAACTAACATAGACATGAGTCAAAGGATGAAAGGTTTTCACTCAAAATGGTTGAAAGCAGATAATCCAAGTAAATAACAGTTTTGGTCAGGTCCACACACCTGAGACTTCGGGAACGGGGGCGCATTGGCGTGTTCCTGCATCTGTTCTCAGTGGCAATGCTTTCTGTGGTACAGAAATGTTTTGATAAGAAGTGTAATTCATCTGGCGTTGGTTGGTATGGTAACTGATGCAACTTCTCCTGGGAGGAACAGGATGACTGAAACAAATCAAAGTAAAGTTATAAGACTACTGCCAAAAGAGATACTGGAAACAAAGAGGGGATCAAAGGGTTAACCTTAGTGGCACCACCATTTTATATGTTATACTTACGTGTTAGAATTATAGTAACAACAACCTAAGTGTATACTTTGGTGTTCTCTCTGAGAGGTCAATATGCCTTCTAGAACTCACCTCATTTGTCTATAAAGGACAATTTCCCCAAAGTCAGTTTTTCTCTGGATAAGACCTGGACTCAGAAAATGGGCATGATCTAGTCAAAGCCAAGGCAAGAAGGTAACCACTGGAGTAAGATTTGTAGTACAGATTAGTTCTTATCTGAGTATGGTAGCCTCACTTCTACTGCTGCTCACAAGCATTCTTAGGGAAATAACAAATTACATAAGGCATGCTGTCCTTCAATGAAACTGCTATCAGTGTGTCCAGCAGCTTTTCTCAGTAAAGCCACTGTTTAAAATTTGGGATTGAAATTTTTTCCTTTCTTTTTGAGGGAGGAGAGCTGAGACTATCACATTAAAAAAAAAATCTTCAGTAATGAGTTTTTTTATTTCAAGTAGGAGAGAAGCAGAGACAAGGATATTATAAATGGAAAAACAGAACTAAGAGTCTATACACAGGGCTGAGGATGTGTTTGGTGGGAGGGCACTTGCCTAACATACACAAGGCCCTGGGTTCAATCCAGCATCAAGAAACCTATACGTATGTCTCACAGGCAAATCATTGTTTACATTCTTGTATCCTACATTTGCTTTTGAAATCATCTCTCAACACCTGGAAAATGTTAATGTAGAATGGGTGAACAGCTACCAGACTCTGCTTTTAATCCATCTGAGATAAATAACTATAAAACAAAGAAACTCGTTGTTATTTTCAGTTATAGTGAGAGGTAAACTCTGTAAGCTAGTCTAATAAAAAACACTGAGGAATTTTTGAATAAGTCAAAAATGGATAGAATAATTATATGTTGAAAGACAGCATTCATTTGAAAATGTCTGTTCTAGTAGGCTTTTGTTTTATCAGGATATATTCATTATATGGGGGGGATTTGTAGTGACAATTTCGATTAGACTTATATTATACATTATTTACATTGCACCCATCGTCTCTCCCCCTCAATCCCTTCCCCACCCCACTTAAATCAATTGGAAGAGGTTTCTTAGTTCTGTTTCATATAGGTGTATGAAGTCCACCTTCCATATACTGTCACCTTAATCTCCTTCCTTCATCCTCCCCCCTCCCACTAGTATGACACCCTCCACACTGCTCCTGTTTTACAGTCCTGGTTTTTGTTATTAATATTTAAATTGATGTTCAAAGGGGTGTCTCAATGTATGCCCACTGAGGGTGTGCTTTACTTTGGTCTGTCCCATCCCTTCCATTACTCTCCCTTACCTGTTTACCTCCCAGGCCCCATTTTTCAATACACATCTTTATATCCTCAGCCTTCACATATTGTTATGTGATATTTTTGATGCTCTATCATTTTCTTTTCCTTTCCCTCTTTCCCTGAGTTCCATAGAGTAGTTCCACTGTTACCAATAAGTTCTACATCTGAGTTTGTATATGATCATGCCTGTCTTTGTATATATGTTTATCTTTGGGTCTGTCTTCCACCTATGAGAGAAAACATGTGGCTTTTGTGTTTCTGATCCTTGCTTACTTCACTTAACATGATGTCCTCCAATTGTATCCATTTACCTCCAAACCACATGTCATTATTCCTTATGGCTGAGTAATACTCCATTTTGTATATACACCACAATTTCATGATCCATTAATCAGTTGTAGGGTACCTGGGTTGTTTCCAGAGCTTGGCTATTGTGAATAGTGCTGTGATGAACATTGGTGTACAGGGGTCTCTACTGTATCCTGTCTTACATTCTTTTGGTTAGATGCCCAGGAGTGGTATCACTGGATTGTATGGCAGTTCTGTCTCTAGTTTTTTGAGGAATCTCCATCCTGCTTTCCATAGTGGTTGTACTAGTTTGCATTCCCATCAGCAGTGTATAAGAGTTCTTGTTTTGTCACATCCTTGCCAGCATTTGTTATTGTTATTACCCTTGATTATGGCCATCCTAACTGGGGTGAGATGAAATCTAAGTGTTATTTTGATTTGCATCTCTTTTATAACCAGGAAATTTAAACACTTCTTCATGTGTTTACTGGCCATTTGTACCTCTTCCTTTGAGAATTCCTTGCTTGATTCATGTGACCATTTCTTCATTGGGGTGTTTTTTTAATTAAAAAAAAAACCTATCATTATAAAAGAGCATCCTTTGTAAATTCTGAAACACTGCAATGCAAACAACACTAGAAATTAATGACTAGAGGTTAAAAATATCCCAATACCTTGAAATTATAAAATGTCTTACTAAGTACATACTGAGATGAAGAGGGAATTTTATAATATAATGAAATTATGTTATAAACCATAAAAATGAGAATACTACAAGAAAAACTGAAGAGTAAACCAAAACTTTATTCAAAACAAATAGGCATAAACTTAAACATTTCACTATGAAAAACCAACCAACAAACAAACAAAAAACTAAGTCAATTCAAGATATCTGAAAAATAATTCAAGTAGCAGAAAAGCAGAGACAAGGATCTTATCAATGGAAAAACAGAATTAAGAATCTATACGCAGGGTTGAGGGTGTGTTTGGTGGGAGGGCACTTGCCTAACATACATATGGCCCTGGGTTCAATCCAGCATCAAAATAGAAGAAAGAAATCTAAACGTATGTCTCACGGGCAAATCACTGTTTATATTCTTGTATCTTAAGATTTCAAAACCCACAAACCCCGAAGTGCATTTTGTAAGTATACAGCAACCATTCTGGAAGACAGATAGTCAACTGAACTGAAGGGAAGTTATTCAAAATATGTATCTAATCTACTTATTGTGAATGCTGATTCAGGTTGCTGTAGAAATACTAATATATTGGATTATGAGTTGCTAGTCCAGTTGCTTCTGGGCTATTATGTATAGTACAGAGATGATGTTACTTTTGTAAAAGTGAAAATGAATTTCAAAACACACCAGGCTCAAGGGTGTCACTATGGACAGGAACTTCCATGAGAACAATACCAGTGGAACTCAGAGAGGGGTCTTCTGAGGAGAGAGGACTGAGGGCAGGGAGGTTTTGGTAGTATTTTTAACATTTTATTTATTAACCATAATAAAATCTGTTTTTCAAAATGGCTGCAGCAAGGGTAACAAAAATGTTAACATCTGATATGATTGCATCATATACATTATCAGATAGTTCCATCAGCAATGTAGCACACTGAGTGACACAGTGGTAGGAGTGAGTGTCCCAACCTTGGCATATTAGAGAAACTAAGTGCCCAGAAGCTTCCATAGGAAGAGAGCCCCTTTTACTTCAGGTAGAACCAGCCAGATATAAATAGAAATAGGGCCAAATCCAAGTGTTACCAGAGTAAGTCCAGGGCACCCGGGACAACTACACACCAGCAAAATGGCCTCAGGATTAAAATTGAGTTATGTTGGATGACAAAGAAGTACAAAGTCAGTTTCTGTAGAGCTGTGGGACTCAATGAAGAACTCCTAAGTCAGTGAAGAGAGCTGCCAGGATGACAGAGGGATACAAGTGCTGTCTCTAAGACGATACGATGCATATATACATATATATGTATATTCACACATATGCATATACATAGTTTTTGAGGCAGTACCTCACCATGGTGTCCAAACTGGCCTCCTGGGTGCAAGGATCCTCCTGGCTCAGCCTCCCAAGTAGATGAGACTATAGGCATGTGCCACCACACCCTGTTCTCACATGCTTATTGAAAAGTTACCTCTGTTGACCAATGCAGCCTTGCAATACCATTTTTAGGGTTTCAAGAATTAGCTTGGGAGTCCTCCAATAAACTAAGTCTTATTACTTCATATTTTTCCAAGTGTGGTGCCAGTTTGTCTCATTATCCAACTAGTTTGCATATGAGTTTTGACTACACCATAAATCAAATCCACTTTCAAAGAATGAAGATTTACACAAAAGAACTGTGCTGCTAGTTCTCAAGGCAATTAGTGTTCCAAATACATGCTCTAAGTAATGCTATCATTCAAATAAGCATTTAGTCTCTCAAGATAACCATTTTGCAAAGGATAGTGTTCATACGAATGCAAGTTTCCACTTGTTATTTATTAAATGTAACATAATTTAATAGTCATACCTCATATTTATGGGTATTTATAGTCTTATTTGTATTCTTTCCCTCATACCAAAATAATTTATCTGGTGAGAAATATATGGAGGCACGTCTTCATACTACTGCAATTCCATATTACTTATTTCAATATTAAAAGTATTATCTTGGAAAAGCTCCACAAATTAATTTTAACTGCAACATTTAACACTAAAAGAAGCTGCATTACTAAGTATTCCCTAGGAGGACTGATCAACTCCACATGACCAAATCTTTCCAACTTCAAAATAGCGCATTTCAAACATTTGGGAATTTTGCACTTTCCATCATATCCAAAGGCTAAAGATATAATAATGTTTACAATTCTGTACAAGCAGATCTGTGGTTCAGCTAACAAAACAATTATCTGTAAAATTTAAACTACATTTCCAATGTGCTTATAATTTTATTTGTATATATTCTATATTTTATTGAAAAAACTAAAGAGCATTTTTGACTGGCTAAATGACTGTTAATGAAAATTCTAAGAGTAATTCAGATTAGATTTAGGAAAGAAGAAACTGTAACTAAGCAGTTTTACATTAATTTTTGCCTAATATTTAAATGACAAGAACCCAGAGAAACCGAGGAACGTGAGAAATAGCTTTTTTTTCTAGTTTATTTTTTGGTGTTGTTGCTTTTATCAACAGCTAATATGGAGAAAAACAGCAGAAGTTTTGTGAAACATCACCCACAGGCCACAGATTAACTAGTTCTTTATATCTTTTGGCAAGAAGAGCAATTTTAGAATTAAAATTTCATTCTGAAGAAAAAATAGAAATATTGAGATCAATGGCTATACAGCACTTTCTTTGATAAAATGAACACCTAAGAGAAAAGCTGTTAGAAACAGAATATTTTGTGTTTGGGACTTCTTGAGGCAAATAGAAGTTAGAGGCAGCAGTGACTCCATTACCACTGTTAGTAAGGACAGGCTTAACTAAGCACAAGGTTTAAAAAATGCCATGTAAATGCCTTAAAAATGGAAAAGAGACAGGAGTGTAGACCACTTGCTGTATCCTTATTGTTAAAATAAGGGGGCAGATAAACAGCCCATCAAATAATCCATAAAATGAGGGAATAATAGCAACTGCACCATAGTGTGCAATGCCAGGGTTAAATGAGCCCATGTACTTGAAGATCTAGACTCATGCCTACACCTCATAATAAGTAATTACAAAAACATTATTTTGACAAGTATTTATACCCAACAGAGCCTGACTCAATGTACTCACCATTATATATTCACTTGAGAAAAAGGATGCATACAAAGACAGAAATGCACATACAACCACAAAATGGAGTAAAGGACAGGAAGATAAATGAGCTTTCTTCAACAAAATACTGAAGGAGATGTAGCCCGGCAGATTTTAACAACTTGGTTTTAGAGGTGCTCCAGAAACTCAAATCCTATTCCACTTGGGGTTCAGGAAACAAGTAATCTAAGGTGGTGGTGGAACCAGTTGGAATTTATCTATTGAACTGCAGTTTCTTGTCAATTCAAGTATTTATTCAGTGGCTGAATCTATGTGCTTAGAACAGGTGTTGACAAATGAGGAAGGAAATGAATCAGAAGGGGCCCTATAATCATGGGGCTACATTCCTGGCTGGCACAAGTGTATCTGGGCCACCTCATTAGATATTTATTGAACACCTATGACCTCCTGGGTCTTTCGAAAGCCCTAGGGATACAGATACCCCCCAAACCTCACTAACTTAATTAGGAATGCTTGTATCTAATCTATCGAACTACGTTCAATAATCGCTAGGCCTCTTGCTGAAATGTTATAGTTTGAGGCAAGAGTCTCTATTCTATTTCTAAGGTACCATCCTGACTCTATTTTTCTACACCTTTTACTAAATTCTTTATGTCTCTTACCTAGGAGGCTTGCTATTTTTTTGTTGTTGTTGTTGTTGTTGATGATGTTCTTTGAAGGAGAGAAAAAAGAAAACAAACTTCTATCTAAACCACACAAGAAAATGGATCAGGTTCATCAAAGTTTAGTGGCATTTTCAGTACTAATATCACTGGCATGGAACCAAAGCATTAAAATCAGATTGTGTTTTTTCCCCCCAAACTACACCAAGTGGTATTGAAATGAAAGCTCCCAGTCTTCTCCAAACTTGTGATCCTGGGCCTTACACAATTTATGTGCCACAGTTTAGGAGCTTATAGCAACAGTAAGTCTTTTTTATGTCTGTTAGGCCACCATTTGACACATAACCTACTCAGAGTAGCAGACCTGTGGAATTTATCTTCTCCTTCCTACCAGGAAACACCCAAAGAAAACACCACCTGCATGGTAGCTCTGTGACTGAGAGAGAGAGAAAAAATAACACAGGCACTTACAGAGACAGTGGAGCTAGGTGTGTTTGTCCCATAGCCAGAGGAGGGGAGAGAGGCCAATGACCAGCGGCGTCCATCAGTCCTGTAGAGAAAGGGAACTTAGCTTAAGCCAACTCTGCAGGACTGTTACAACAGTACCCCAGAGAAACAGAGTATTTTTTAGTCAAACAAATGACACAAACATAGTCTGTAAGGATGTGCAAATGCTCAGCTAGGGTCAGGGTAAACAAACATTATACAGCAGGTTGACTTTTATTTAAACTGAATCAATACACCCAAACAAGTGGAAAGTGAATAGGTTGATCCATAGTATTGATCTCTCACTAATACACTTTGACAAAATGAATACCAGGGATAATTACAACGGCCAGAGTCAGCAGATTCAAAGGAATACAAACAGAAAGGAGAGAGGGAACACACTCTCATCTGGAACTGATAACAGAGGCTGATGATTTTTACAAGGGCCTGAATTCCAGCAAGAGCCTGTGGGGAGATTCAGTGCATCCTAAATTCTTTGCACTTAGCATTTTCAAGGGAGTAGTTCTGCTCTTCATACCTAGGAGGTATGAAGGAGGAAGGAGGAAGCCCTGGGCCCCTGGCTAGTTCAAGTCTTACGTGGCAAGTAACTTTAGCATGAAGAAAGTGACTGCCTTTGATTTCAGACTCTCTGAAGAGTTATTACCCTGACATGACTTGCCTTAATAAAGTATTGGACCAAAGACTGGCCACAGAGTTTGTTGTGCATGCAGCCCAATTCTGAACAGTAACAATGAGGGCAAAAGGAAAAAGTAATGCACTAGTAATAGAACCCAGCATAAAGTCATTTCTGTCAGGATCCTTGAAGAGAATGGTTTTCATCTTCTATTGGTGATAACATAGTGGCTTCTGAGTTGGACTCCAGCTATGAATTAAGGTCACTACACAGTCTAAGATGAGTTAGTGCAGTAGCAGAGACAATACTGCTTCTAGGGCAAGGCGCCACCAGAAAGCAAATTTTCTGCAATTTTAGAACCATTTTTTTTTTTAGCAAATTTTAGTAAGACTGTGCCTTAAAAATCATAAAACACTGTGAAAACAAACACATGCAAATTTGCTATGGGAGCAAGACAGGAAATACACACTTTATAAAGGGCACAATTATATTCTTAGATGCAGTATCATATACAGACTTTCTGTAATACATGATATTAATTTACCAAGTGAGAGGCAAGAATGGACAAAATGTACCAAGCACACATTCACAGTAAGTTGAAGTCTCGGAGTTCAATAGCACTAGACTTGAACGTGAGAAGTCACAATTAGATGTTGATGTCAAGATACTGATATTTCAGCCTGACATTCAAGGGACAATATTACCATAGCCTCCCACGGATGTTACCTCCAATAAATGCAAATGGTCCACAAAGACAAAATGGAGTAAATCAAGTGGACAAATCACAAAACTCACTACAGTATTGAGATTTTAGTAAAATTTACCTGTCATTTCTGTGATCATGATTGGAGTACAATTGAATCAAGTATGGTTAAAAAAAAGAAAAAGAAGAAGCAAAACAAGATGTTTATAAATATATCAGAGTAAAAGAACTGGGAAAACTGAATTATATGATGTTTAAAAACATTTTAAACAATTTAAAATATCAAATATTTAAGAAGAAATAATTAGAATATACCTGGAAAGATAACAATTAAATGGACTACTATTTGACTACTTTTTAAACTCTTTAAAATCCATCTGTCTACTTTATATTTTCAACACTTCCAATTTGGAAAAGTAACAAAAGGATATGATTTTAAAAGAATTATTCAGTCCATTTAATATCGATTGCCAAAAACTAGTCTCTAGAAAGAGTGAGGGACATAATTTCCCCTACCATGGTTTTGTTTTGTGATTCATTAACTCTCCTTTCCCTCAGGTATCAGTGAACATATTTCAGATGGATGAATAACTCCAAGAGGAGATCTGTTCTTACTAGTTCTGAAGCATAAATTACATTTGCTTAGTCCAGAAAACACACAACTAGGAAGATGTTTAAACAAGAATGTGCTCAGTACTCTGTACAGCCATCAACCAGAAATAATTTATGTCTCATAAAGTTCTCTAAGTTGTCTGTGTCTATTTACTCAAATGGAGCAAAAGGACCATTGCATTTCCATTACCATGACAACCGCACATCAGAAGTTACTATATATGCTATATGCAGTACTTGAAGAGAGAATATGCCCTTTTTTCAAGAAAGCTATCACACAAGTGCAATTTGGATCCTACTAACAGTGTTGTCTGTTCTGTGCAGTAACTATCAATAAAATGTTACCTGAAGCCAAGACTACATTCTTACCAAAGCAACAAGGCTTTCTTTTTTGAAAAAAAGAGTCTTTTCTTGTGGGTGGAAATCTCAATGTTACAGTAAGTGGCAAAGTAAGGGAAAAAACATCTGAAGGGAACACAAGACACAAAGAGATTGGCAAAAAAAAACAAAAAAACAAAAAACAAAACATCATTTCAATTCATAAAAACTTAGAATAATATGGTATTCAAAAAAAAAAAGAATGAAAAGTTCTGATACTAACCCAACAATTTTAACTGCATGAAGAGGAAGCTGATTTATCTGTTAGAATCACCTGGAATGATACATTATATTCTCTAGTTGATGCTGGAACAAACTGAACTCTGTTGATATAATGTGACCAACAAAAATCTACTCCAGGAAGAATTCTAAAAGAGTTACTAGGAGGTTGCCTTGGTCACAAGTGCTCAACAAGTGTCTGAGGACCTGAACTCAGCAGGCAAACCTGTTCTAATAATTTGCTTGTGGAAATACATTCTGAGCTTTAACCTTGCAAATAACAACTCTACAACCAGGAAGAGATCTCTGGCATTTATTCAAGGGCACTCGATTTCTAATGAAAGTGCGAGTTGCTGCGTAAGATCCCCAACTTCTGGGAAAGGCAGGAAATTACTGCCTTCATTTTACACTGGGGGAAAATGCTAATCCACACTCAGATACATTATAAATCAGTACACAGGGCGTGTCCCTCATCTAAAATTCTTGGGACTAGAAGTGTTTCAGATTTGGGGATTTTTGTCTTTTGAAATATTTGCATAGACTTTACCAGTGGAGCAACCCAAATCCAACATCTGAAAAAAAGTCCGAAAATTTTTTTGACTGTCATGTCACTGCCCAAATAGTTTTAATGGTGCTGAAATGAGTTTCAGTTTTTGGAGCATTCTAGATTTTGGAATTTTCTGACTAGGGATGTTTAGCCTGTTTTACAATTATCAATGTGAAAATGTACGCTCCAGACAAAATCTACAATATTATGAAGCTCATTTTTTTCTTTTTAAAATTCAATGTTTAAAATTAACTTGATAATTTTATTCTTGAATCTGTATTAGACAATGTGTAAGGCAGGTGTGTATCATGTGAACCTTACGGTCTGTTATTGGACTATTATATTATGAGATGTCTACCAGGACAGTACAACTACATTGAACAAGAAGGTCAGGAAAGACTAATAAGCCTCACATTGACATCTCTTCACCCCAGAATAATGTAAAAGATAGAATAATATTTCCTCTATTAGGCTAAATTTACAAAATTTAGTCTCAAAGTGGCATTACTGCTGGCAGAGTGGCTCAAGTGGTAGAGCACCTGCCTAGCAAACATAAAGCCCTGAGTTCAAACCCCAGTAACATCAAAGTAGCATTACTTCTTTTTTGTTTTTTTTAAAATTAGTGTATAATAGTTTTACAGAGGTGTTCGGTGTGACATTTACATATGTGCTTACAAGTTACCTTTATTAGATTCACACCCTCTATCATTCTCCCTCATTCCCCCTCCTCCCTTAGAACAATTTCAACAGATTTCAGTATTGTATTTTCATACACATATACAAACTACACCAACCATATTCACCCTCCTTCACCCTCTCTGTTTAAACACTGCTCCACCCACCCCTGGATGAGACCTGTTTTTCCTTCCCATCCTCCGTTTTTTTTTTCAGTGTATATTGATTATTCCAAGGGGGTTTTGCCTTGGTATTTCATACATACTTCAATATGTATTGAAGTACATATATTGTACTTCAATCAGATTCACCCCCCCATTACTATCTCTGTACACAGATGCAGTATGTTTTAATATTATTCAGTCTCTATCATTCCTTTTCTCCTTCCACCTCTGCACAGTCCCGTCAGAAAGACTACTATTACAGTCATAAAGACTAGAAGTGCCAAGCAAATAGAAAGGGACAGAGACAGTAGACAGAATCTCCATGCTTCCTGAGTGAAAACTGACTCTAAAATGGGAGAGGACTCCCAGCTGTTAAACAGAAAATGCCAATTCAAATTTTCATAACAAGCACAGGGTTCTATTCACTTGAATGAAAGTTTAGCAAGATGATCACTCATGTCCTAATCTACATTAATACTTTTTGAAGAGTGTGGAGGAAGTTCCAGCTGGAAATGATCTAGAGGTCTCCTGTGATAATCTCCTGTCACGGTTTATGGTTTATTTGTCAGAAATTAACATGCTTTGAAGGGCTGTATTTTTTTTTACAGCACGGAAACTAGATTCATCTGTCCTTCAGTCACCCACTTAATTATTAGATTCTCTTCATTTTTATAAATCTGGTAGGATTAAGAGACCATGTTTTAATGCACACTCTAATGAGATTTGCATTTTTCTTATTACTCAAGGTAATTAAATGCATTTTCCCCCTTTTTAGAGATGTGTTTTAAAGACTACAGAGGGCACTTATTTATCAATTTTTATTAGATTTTTTCCACTTGGAATAGTGTACCATCACAAATTAATATTTACTAGGCAATCAGACTTTCTAGGATCAGTTAGTTTTTGCATCTTCTTTATGGTACTTAAAATGAGGAACTAACAGAATAAAAGTTGAAACTTAGGGAAGATCAGAGTACAGGTCTCCACAACTCCTTGGAGAAGCTGTGTCAATCACTCTCGTCTCCTCTCCACCATAGGGTACATATAAGTCATTGAGCACAGGGTGGGAAATGGCTAAGATAATGAAAACAAATCTTTCATTTTGGCTTGAGATTTATCATGGAATCTTAATTGTATAGAATTCTGAAAATGTTACAAACATACACTTTCCCCTGAATTTCATAATATAAAACATATCACATACTGACAAACAGTAGTGGGTACACTCCAGGTTTCTCTGGTTAGTAATGCAAGAAGAAATATATATATTTAATCTACCTAGGTGTCTTTATTAAACGCTACTTTAATCCATTTCAAGATGTAGTTAGATCTCTGAGGAAATTTTAGCAAGTATCTAGGACATTCCAATCATAAACCAAATTTATCCTGAATATTCAGAGGCCTGACTGAAGGGACATTTTTGCTTTATCTGTGTTTGTCCTGGGAAGAACAGGACATGATACATTTGTGAGAGGGTTAAGGGTAGGTGAAGGCTTAAATTTGACACGAGTGGACTGAGTCCACAAGGATTCCTATCACATGGCTGAACCACAGGAGGAGAGCATCCCCCAAAGGGCTGACTATTAGATTTTTGAGCAACAATACTTCCTTTCAGCTCAGTACTCCAGAGCAGAGACATGTATCTCTTTAATATCTGGTACTCAATTCCATGTAGGACAGAAAGAGAAAACATATCATATAGTTCACACATTGCTTATTCTCAGATGAATCACTAAATTGTTGGCTTGATGTTTCCAAACTGAGTGATATGTCAGAGTTTATAATCCTGGAAAGTCATTTTCACAAAAAGTATCTAAACAACAATAAAAATGTAGCAGGACATAGATGAATTGAAGGCTGTACAATAGCAATAAAAGTCTGAGCACCAACCGTGCACAAGATATGGACAGGGATGGGAGAAAAGACAGAAAGATTCTTTCCTGCCCTTGTTGGGAGTTTGCCATTTGGTGACCCACCAAGAGGACCTATAACTCTTGAACATTAGGCAGAAGTCATTACTAAAACTGCTAAAGCAAGGGTGTTATAGGGAAGTCCTTTGGCCACGGGGGCTTCCTAAAAGGCCCTTATACTGAGCAGGACCTCACAAGGCAGAAGGCAGGAAGAGTGGGGAGGAACAAAGAGGGGCCAGAGAGATGGGATTCCCTGTTCCCCCACTCACAAGAAATCCTTACCTCCGTGCAAATGAAAAATGGGCTGAGGCACTGGGGGAGAAATTTCTTGGACTATCTTGAGGGCTATTTCCTGTAGAGAAAAAGGGGAAAAAATTACAGCATGATTTTGTTTTTGTACCACTATCCACATCCAGAATCTTCTCATTAGTTTCTTTATATCTCTGTAAAATGTCATTTCCCCTAGTAATGTTTTAGTTTTACCTGGAGCAGGGATTTGAGGGGAGGGCTGTCTGAGTTCCAGCACAGCATCCCAAATGTGCAAAATATATGAATACACACATTCACCCATATCACCAACTGTAGTCCTCCAAATATTTAATCACTAAACAATTTTAGTCCTATAGAATTAATGAATACAAAAATACCTATAGATGCTAACATTCCAAAGAGCAGGATGGATGGTAAGAAAGTGCCTCCATTAAGGGGAAACAGTCATGTAAAAAGTCCCAGTTCTCAAATGCTCATATTCCAAGATACACATTTAAAACATGGATATGTCAGAATTAATCATAAAATACCAGGGAGAAGTGAGCTGTCTGGACCTATTCCTAGGATACCCCAGATCTATCCTAAATCCATCCTCTAAGGGCCCAGAGGATTACCCCTTGTCAATATTTTCTTCAACAATCTCTGTGCCCCTAAGCAGCTGGAATGTGACTGGCCAGGCAGTTTCTAGAAGCCATAGCCACACAAAGACTGGCAGCATGTGTCTCTCCAAATCTTTTCCAAGGCAGAGAGGAGCACTGATTGCTCACCGGAAGGAGGGCAGCTCCTCCGGGGCTTGTTACTTTCTCCATCAGCCCACTCAACCTGCTGCTATCATTGACAAAGCTTGGCGGGCAGCTGGCGAGGGCAAGTTCAAGACACTTCAGATCACCCTGCTTCCCTCTGCATGCTTAATTAGACTGAAGGAATTGTACGAAGACTGCTCGGGAACTCTAGTTGGTTTCAAGAAGGTGAGGGGGAGCTGCAAAGTAATCCTAGCATTCTTGAGAAATGGAAAATAGGAAGGAATGTTTCAGCCCTAACAGCAAGCCAGTTGCCATGCCACTGGGTTCTTAGTGAAAGTGACAACTATAATTAGGTGTAGGGAATACAAGAGTTCACGTCCAAGTCAGCACCTGGCTGGCTGTAAAGGTAAACAATTTATTGCCAATGTGCAAAAAGAATAGACTAACACATTAAGGAGGATAAGTGTAGTGTTACCTTGAGAACCTCTGGACTGGTAACATCGCTACTGAAATTTTTCAATTAACTTAAGGTTGCAAATTTTATAGTCATGCCTTCAACAGATGCTGTTAACTTTATGACAGCTAGCACAATCAAAGCCATTCAACAGGGGAAGTGCTGAGAAGTCCATTTCTTTATGGAGAAAGAATCAAGAGGCATCTTTCCCCTGCTTGCAAGGAAATTTATCATGCCTTTGCATCCGGCATTCCTTGGGTCCCCCAAGAAATGGAGTTTGCTTTTGCCATCCAGTAATCCAGGATTCATTTTGCCTATTTATCTCCACTGTTAGATTAAGTTATTTTGACTTCTCTCAACAACCTTCATTCCCCTACCCCTAACCTAGTTTGTATATTACTCTCTACATTCCTTAAATAAAAGTGGTCAATAATTTCAAGATGGCTAAAAAAATTTTGTTTTGTAAAGGGAATAATGTAATGCAAAAATTTTGTATAGATTTTTTTATTTGGGAAAACTGAACTATTCACTTTGTTGACATACCACAGAGAACAAACTACCGGCAAATTATTAGGAATAACAAAACAACTGCTTATTTCAAACCAAGACATTTTGAGAACAATTCTTGTTACTTCATTCACATAGAACGAACTAATAACACCAAGGAAACCCAACTCCAGGTGGTTAGCCCATGTTCTTTGTAAAGAAAATACTGTATCTGGAGATTCAAAAGTAAGGAACAGCTGAGTTTTTTTGGTTTGTTTTTGTATTTTTTACAAAACGAGAGGGAAAAAACAAGAAATTAACTTAAAATTCTTTTTACTTTTAGAGATTTTAATGAGTGATCCCTAAGAAGCCAGGTAACATTTTATATTACACAGTGACCCATCATCTTGCTGATGGGGTAGGCAAAGACAGAGCTTCAGAGGCAAGTTAATTTAACTCAGCCCTTAAAAACAAACAAACAAACAAAGGCTATCATTAAACATTTCTCCTCTTCATATTTTGCCTTCTCATCTTGGACTACCTTTCCAGATAAATCAACTAAAAATATATTTTCTTCTTTTCATCTACCCATACGCTGCTATAAAACCAACCCAATTCATATTAAATCTCAAGATGATAGGCCCATCTTTATTATCTTGCTAACAGCAGATCTTTCTTTTTTCATGTAGGATTGGAAAGCTAAGCTGAAATGTAAATATTATAACACATAGTCACATGATTCTGGAGAACCAGACATGTTCTGAAATGCGTTGTCAGGTAATTTTGTCAATGTGTGAACATCACAGAATGTACTTAAACAAACTAAAATGGCAACCACATCACTAGGTAATATAATTTTAAAGAAGCATCACTGTATATGTGGTCTGTGGATGTTTTGACAGCAGAGTCAACAGGATTTGCTGAAAAAATGGAACTGAGTAGAATGAATGGGAATGCTATTACACGGTGCAAGACTGTATGTGTACTATTGAGGCTCTTGAAATTTCATGGGATGTGAAAGAAAATGAGTGAGAGTAGAGCAAGCTAGAGTACCTGACAATTCCTTAAGGGCAAGAGACAGCTCAATGTAAGGATAGTTCTGTAAGCTTTAGATAAGAGGAGAAATAGAAAGAGACTTCAGGGACAGTCAGAAACAACTCAAACAGTAGGATGACACAAGAGTCAGGCTCTTTGGCAGAAAGGAACTCAGACAGGTAAAGCCAATGAGCTTCATGGACCATGTTTACTGGTACTAACATGTATGTGATCTTAAGATAGAGAGAGAGAAGGAGGGAGGGAGGGAGGAGAGAGAGAGAGAGAGAGAGAGAGAGAGAGAGAGAGAGAGAGAGAAAAGAAATGTCACAGGTTTAAAGTTTCTGTGATGTACCTAGTATGGGTGGACACAGTAGCTCCAGAGCTGGATCAGGCCATACAAGGGCAATAGAAAGAAAGAATATTCTGGTGGGCAAACCAAGTGTAACTGGTGATAGGTTAGAAATAAGCAATGAAAATAGTATAGATTAAAGATAACTGATGTGTCCAAAGTATGTGGATGGGGAGAACAGAATGACTAACCCATTGCTAGGACATCTTGAGAGACAAGTGAGGTTATGGTAGTAACAGAGGAAATTGATAAATGAGTATTCTGTAGACTTTTATGTCATGTGTTATAGAAAACTCAATTTTCCTTAGGGAGAAATTTTAAGATTAGCAGATTAGATACCTAGAAGTCATTCTTTGAAGTCTTTGTTCCTATTTGAAATAAAAATTGATTTCTACTTGGTCTCTGAAGATTTAGTGACACTGTTTTGTTATACAGTGGCCAAAATGCTGCTAATTTAGAACAGATCAATTATGAAACATACTGTCTGTATTCTTAATTCAGAGATGAGAACCTCACTGTTGTGCTCATGCATGGTACTTCCCGGGATGAGAGAGCAAGATGGACTGAAACCAGAGTCCTACACATGACCTTCACTCCTCACAGCACTGCTGTCTGAATTCATCCACCCATCTGTAAAGCAATACCTGAGAGACTCTCAAATGAAAACTGGTGCCAGTTAATTCTCTGCCCATATGTGCAGCACTTGCTTATAACTCAAATCCTGCTGCTCCAGGGATTTGCAGGCTCTTGGATGTTTGAGTGCTCGGACACTTTATAGACTGCTGGCATCACAGCTGATGGTTCTGACCTGCTAAAGTAAGCCCCAGCAGTGGTCAGGCATTAGGTAGGTAATTAACTCCATGATCCTCATGGGGCAGAGCATGGCTAATACACAAGCAGTGTATCAAAACCATACTTTGCCCGATGGCACTACACAGGGTGCCTCATTTTGGAGGCAGTTATTGTTAAGAAAGTGATTTCCAGATTAATTAAATTGTTTGATTGCTTTGTAATTAGGTTGGAGAAGTCCTGTGTCTTTTCCACAGAGAAGCAAGCTGCAAGTCTTTTTAAAAAGGCATATGTTTTACCCATTATATATTATTAATGTGCTTTTAATAGTTGTCTGTTCATGAAAGGATAGTTTTTGATGCCTTGATTTTCTATCAGGACTAAGGCAATCCAAGAATTAATGACCACCACCATTTGAAGCTCCTGGTGGATTGAAAAGTAATCCCCCATTTGAATCCTTGTTGTCACTACTTGATGATCCCTTAAATGAGCTGTGACGTTTCACACCATAACTATCAATGTGGCATTTCTTAACACTTTGGAGTTGATCCTTTTCAACACATGGCCACTGCTTAAAAACCTCTAGCACCAAACTTCACAGAATCAAACCTAGGACCTCCTTAGAAGACGAATGCCAGCAGAGTGGCATTTAGGAACCTCATGCTGAATGAGCTTTGTGAAATAATACTTCAAGTCACCAGAGATTCCACAAGTGACTTGGAAAAAAGTCAGAGATCTTCCCTTCACTTAGATACCTGTCTCAGAAACTGGCTCCTCTCCAGATAAAACTGTAGAATATTAATTAAACCTGGGCAGCTGTTTAGGATCTAAGTAGCCAAAAAATCCTTGATTAACTGTCTTTGGGTGAACTGTGAAGTGTTTATCACAGGTCAGTGAACAGAAGTAGACTAATACACTGGAGTTTCAGAAAAAGAACAAATTATGCACAATGAATCAAGGCTCTCTTATAACATGGGTTCTCTGAATCCTCTTTGGTTTTCCCTGTCCCTGTTTATTGAACCTTCCATAGCCAGTACTACTACTACTACTTGGTTGACTCAATATTTATTAATCCTGTACTACGTGGAGGGGAATGACATGATAAAGACCTTTCAAGCTGTTTTTGTGGCCAATGGGCTAAAGCAGGCATGAGTAGACCCAGGAAGATCAGCTAGGAACCTGCCAGCAAACACAAGGAAGAGAAGATGATGGCTAGGGTGGGATGA